GTGCAAGGTTTTTGGATGGGTGGGTGGGTGGCTTCCGTCTCTGTCTCTGTTCGCTCTCACTCTCTCTTCCTCCGAGGCTTCACCTCTCTCTGCAGTGCCAGCAAATCTGTCAGAACATTTGTGGTTGTTATGGTGACGGATATAAAGAGATGACTGGATTGTATCTGAAATAAGAAAGACTGAACAGGGCAGGAAAGGGAGAGAGCACCTAAAAAAAAAATGGGGCTAAATCGAGAGAGTACGGGAAAAATAGAAAGGTAATATGCAGAGAAAAAGGAGGACTGACTATTTTCTGTGCAGATTTCATATTTCTGGATCAGTGATCAGGTGACGACACTGTCTGTGAGAGGAGGAGAAAAAAGGAGGACAAGATAATTGAAGGGTGTTAGGTTGATTTACCGCAAATTGTTGCAGGTTTTTAAGTCACCATGACAACCAAAGTGAGTTATAATTCCACCATGTGCTCAGCAGAACAGAACAAATCATTCCTCTTCAGCTATTTCCGTCACCGCTCAACAATTACGTGTCCAGGTGCCATAAAATGTCCTGCATTACTCCCCTTTGCTCATTTTCATCCTACCAGGCTTTCATTTAGAGCACATTACACTGTAACTTAGTGGTGACATTACTTGGCTTACACTCATCAAGTCCTTTTTATTCACAAAGATGTTTTTTATATATATATATATATATATAAAAAATGACATCCTTGTTTTGCTGAAAACCAGTAAATCCCATTTCCTGAGCCATGAGGAACTGAGTTCAATTGAGCAAGCCTTGCACTGGACAAATAGGAAGCATCCCTCTTTTGTAAAGTGTATCCGAAATCGTATGTAATAATTTAGCAGACTGTATTGTAAGTCCTGCCTTCCTCGTGCATTTCCATAGCTGTCAGACACAAAAGGAGAACGTTGAAGATTCCTTACATTGCCAAGTTTAATGACACATATGCAAAGCACCTTTATCATGTCCTGTTTCTTTTCAAGAGTACAACCAGCAGAGGGACAGACACCTTGTCCTTTGTATTTTTAAAAGATCCATCAAAAGTAGAAAATTGCTGAGCCTGTGACACAACACTACCAAGTCGGTATCAGTGCAATCTGACAGATGACAAGTTTCCCACATCGACGCTGCTCTGCCTCCATGAACCACCTTTCACAGACGAGCTAAGAAATTCAGCATTTCTGGCTTCAGATTAATTCACCTTTTTCTTTGGAAGATTTAAAAATGCTACTAGATAACACTAGGCGCTGGGTTGTTACCTTAATCTCCTGTAAAGCACAAAATGGTTGCCCTTGTACTGTTTCTATCATGAATTTTATTTTTATCTGACTACGAGCCAGCATTTCTAATACATTTTTATGAATATACTAATAACCAAAAAAATGTGTGTGTTAACTCATCACTTTTAATCTTAAATCACCATGTTAAAACCTTGTGTATGCAAATGTATAGATCTGGGATATTACCGTAGAGTTGCTGATGTATAACTAACACTCAGGAGTAGAGAGATAATCAACATGCTTTCACTTAAGTACAGTTATGAATAACTTTGAGGTATTATACTTCCCTTGTTTCCTCAATAAACTTGTTTTTATATGGAATTTACAAGTGAATATCCTTGACTTTGATTCGTACATTGCAAACTTCCTGTGTAATATTTTATATGAGAATATATGGTATATTTTTAACACTTCTAACTAAATATTTAAACATGTTCAAAAATATCTAAATGTAAAAAATAATCATACACTTCATGTGATGACACGTTTTCTTTTACAAGGAGAACTATGTTATTCAGTGTATAATAGACACATAAGTGTGTGTTTAAAAAAAATACCTTCCAAAACTACTAAGTATATATAAATATATATATATGTATTTTTTTTTCTTTTTAATATATATATATATAATGTATATGTGGGATAATACTGTTATTTGAAACCAATTACAGTCAAATACAGTAACATGTATCTGTATATTCCTGGGTCAAATAAATTATTTGAATTAAACAATTTAGAGACATAGTGGACACATATTAAAAAAGTTCTTATAGGAATTGGGTGCTATTTAACACGCAACAAAATAAATGGTAGATACATGTTCTACCTGAATGCTTAAATCTGTAATAAAGCACCAATATAAGGTTATTGTCATATCACAGCCTCCACTCTTATAACTTTATTTGGTGGACATCTTTGTAAACAAATGATATATTATTCAGTAGTGTGCCAGACACATAGGAAAAAGAAAAATGGCTATTTCTAATTTAACATTAAAAATAAATAAAGTTTAACTATATTATCTACCTGAATGATTAAACCTTCAATAAAGCACCAATACAAGGTTATTGCCATCTCACTGCCTCAATTGTTAAACCCTTATATTTTACTCTCTATTTGGACATCTTCGTAAACAAATGATATATTATTCCCACATACATCCGAGCAAAATTAGGAAAAGGAAAAATGGCTATTTCAAATGACAAAAGACACATTTACGAATTACCTATTTCTATGTTTCTTTGTGAGTTATCTATAATAATTGTATGTATTTGTACTTATTCCTGAGCTTTGTGCAGTGGCAGGTCAGTGCAGGACAGCTTCGTCCATGTGCAGACAGAGGCATTGCGTAGGTTGAGGTCCACTGTAATTTTCCAGGTAATTTGTCCCTGGTGAAGCACCGTAGCTCTGCAAAAGGAGCAAACACTTGAGGAGTGTTTTGTGCAGCCAATCGTCAGTACAAGCCCGCAAGACTACAACAAGGCTTGGAGTGGGAGGGAGGACTCGGGCGGCAAAACATGGCGAAATAACAAGTTTTACTGTTGGCTGCTTTTGGGAAATTGCACCGTGTCTATCGTGTTGGACTTCGGCGACGGGTTCATAACATTTGGAGGCTGGAGGACGAGAGCAACGCGTAACTTTAGAGAGTCGAGGGCCCCAGTTTACAAGTATTACGGTGGCTGCTGGCGAGAAAATAGTGCCTGCCTGTGTTTCCCCGGAAGGTTGGCAGTGCTAGGCGCGACTGTCAACACAGAAAATGGATGAAGGAGGAAAGTTTATACTGGAAAACACCGTAGATTGTACTCGGTAGATTGATTGCACGCACCTGACTCGAGACAATATTTAAGTCGTGTTAACAAGTTTGGCAACTGCAGTCGTATATACAACTAGGCCATTGTTTTTTTTTATTTTTCCCGCAGTTGTGTTAATATTCAGGGAGGACATCTCTTTAAGGCTTGACGGCCGGTTCTGGTGCGGACGGACCCGGACGCCATCACATCAGACGCTGCGTTTCTCCTTAAAAAAAACAACAACCACTGCGCTGCTCTGGTTCATTTTCTACTTTAGCAACGAAACAAGGACTGTTTTCAATTGCACACCAGATCTGTGTGGTAGTTTCTTTTTCTCCGTGAATCGTTTTTTTATCTGCATGTTGTACAGCTGCAGAGACGTCTTGTCAAAATGAACGCAGCAAGGTGTTCAACAACAGTGGAGGTGCATTGCATTGAAAACCTGCCCGTTGGTAGTAGAACGGTACCGTTGGCCGGCTAACTGACGCTAACAGTTTCTTGAAATACCTTTTATTTGAAGTCAAATGTGTTTTGACCAGACATTGTAACCGGCTTTTTCTGTAAAACAACACTGGTTAACATTGTAGCTCGAGTTGACGTGAGCTAGCCCGCTGGGTGCGTCTGTGACGGCTCTATCTGCGATGTGTTTGCTAATCTAAGTGCTACCGTGTTGTTCCGCAACAGTTTAACAGATTGCCCAGCCCGTTTGCTTAATTTAATCCATAGATAAGCTCTCTCAAGATCGCTTTAGCAGCCGCTTCACATTTCCACAAGTACATCTTGTCAAATAAGGGACTAACTTGGTAGCTAAGGTCCTAAGTTTCGCCAGCCATGTCTGAAAACGCCCCCACACGAAGCCTGGATGACATAGACCTCGCAGCTCTGAGGGTGAGTATTGTTATTATAAGACAAGTGTGCTGCACTTTATTCATGTACAATTATGACTGACGTTAGATGTTATGTCATATTAACTGAAGTATGTGCTTTCCTCTGACACAAGCACGACCATTCAACACCCACGTAACAAAGTTAAGGTAGATAAACATCCCCTGGCCCTGTGTTGCTACAGGCAGCGGTCATGTCTAAGTGAATTGTCTAGCAACAACTTTTTACACACTAATATATTCATGTTTCTTTATGCTGTGCTTTCCTCTTTTCAAATATGCCATTGAAATGATAAAATCTGAGATTGTAGGCATAATCACAATCTGTTTTTGTTGTGATTTATTATTGTTTTGGGGGGTCTTTTCCCTAGGTGGGCCCAAGTTGAATGGCAAATCCTCCAACCATACCCTTGTTGATTTTGGTTTTGTTGGTTTTGTATTGCTACTATATTTCTAATAAAACGAGTTCTGTATTAAAGTTGTTAGGGATAGACCATACACTACATCCCTGGTGGTTTTTTAGTGATCCATCCTCCACTCATAAATCACCCTGGCTGTCAGGACCCCCCTCATCTAACATCACAACCACTTTGCTAAAATATGGTCACTCACCTCTAATGCCGTTTGGAAGAAAAATGCAACCTTAGTTTATTGTCAATTCTGCCATATGTATGGGACAAATAGACGATGGAAATGATATTCACGATAGCCCCTTTCGATGCATCTCCAATGTTAAGTGTCACGTGTATAATGTGTTGCATCAGTAAATCCCCTTATGACAAACCCTTATTAGCATTATAAAGCTGTTGATTATGCATTCAGTCACTGCTTTTTTAAATATAGATAACAGCCCTGTCTCCTCACTGAGGTATTAAAGAGATACATAGCTTTCACTTTTAGGATTACATTTTAGATTTCAGTTTTAATCTATGTCTACGGTTAACATGACCAAAGATTAATTTAGGTTTTTTGATTGATTTAAAAATGAAAAAATCTGAGCATACAAGCTATTTGAAAATATAACCAAGAGGAGAAGTCATCTTATATGTCCCCATATGCCCATATCTGAAAACTCTGTGGTACTTTAGTGGAGCTTTCCCAGATCAGTGGTAGTTTATCCAAATCCTGGTTTGCTTGGTCCCTTGTTATCTCTTTCTCTGACTGTATTGTAGAGCTCACCTGATCATCCACATCTTCCAAAATCCTGGCAAATTGTTAAAACTGACCCATCTCTTTATTATACATCAGTAAAAAATGGCAATATAATAATTTTATAATTTTGTATAGAGTTACAATCACATTATAATCAACAGAAGTGTTTTTTTATGGGTATTTTGGCCCAAATTACATGAATTTCTTTCTGAAAATTACACTGAAATGTGTGATCTGGTATGGTTAAGTACACTGGATGAATGTTTTAATATCCTGACTGGTTTTTAGGATGCTGAGCTGACCATTTGGTGTGTGTTGTTATTGTTTACTTTTGAGTTTCAACAGTGTAAACGACATCTCTTAACCCCCAGTGTATTGGCAGAAACGTCAACAACAAAATCTGCACGACTATCTACCACTAGAGATAACTTTAACAGTTTTTAAACATAATCGTGCTAAATTTGTCACAGATTATTTCCTGTTGCAGTGTTTGTGAATGACACTAGCTGACAGGAAGTAGTCATGGCCCCAAGCTGTTTCCTAGCAATGCAAATTGGATACAACTTGTGAATCTCTCTTTGGGTGAACTGATCCTTTAGAGATGCCCTGTGGAGTTTTCTTGCAAACAAACAAATGTTATTTTTATAATCAGTATTCATCACCAAGAGGCACTGTGTGAATCCTTGAGCTCCAACCAGTGTGTTCAATGTATTTCCTTCATCATAAAAAATGTGCAAAGACAATTACTATTCTAGCATTTCAAATATCGTGTAGTTTGTTAGCTAGCGGACCTCTTTTTTGTTGGCGCATTGCAGCATATTTTGGTGTTATTGCCACCTGTTGACTAGGGGAATAGTGTAAATCCACTGGCAGGACGGTGTTGTACGACACCCGGGCGTGCAAGCTTTTTTTTGCATGAGATAAACAAAACTTTGACACACTAATAGGAAAACAGCTACATGGGGCTACTAGAGGAAGACAACTTCACAGGGAAACTTTAAGCAGCTCAATTTGAGTTGTTCTATACATTTGCTGCAAAGTAAAGAAGGACATTGCATAATGTTTACGGTGGTAAACGGACATAATTCAAATAAGAAATTATCTAACGTCAATAGCACTCGATATAATCAAGCTAACTGCACGGTTATTTTGTTTACAGCTGGCATAATGCGGTCATAGTCCAACAAAAATGTCTTAAACTGAATATAAGCAATGAAGTGAATTTTAAAATCAACAACAAAGCAGGTGAAGTTCAACAGACAGGAACTTTGATATTGTGTATTGAGGATATTGGATTCTGATTACCAAGGAATACCAGCCCTCTGGAAATGAACCTCATGAGAGATTTTTGTCTTGTGATTTTTTTTTTTTTGGGCTCATTAAAACAGTCCATGCCTGATATGTTTGGCATAAATAACCTTACATACGAGTGAGGAAAAAGGACTGCTTTGATATGACAGAATACAAGCTCCTGGTTTGGCGCTTATGTAATTGCTAGTCAAATTATAACATGTCAGATATTAAATAGTTTAAAATATCAGCTATCTTTTCCTACATGTCCATGCCTTTTGGAAATGTGGTCTTAAATTCACAATGTCATTATGTATGTTAAAAAACAACAGTGAAAATCCAGTCGTTTTTTATCTTACTTCATTGGATGTAATGTAAAGAGTTGTCTTACTCAAGGGCCGTAATGGTAGCAAAATCAAACAATGGTAGTGTTGATGAAATGTAAACATTGTTCTTCCTTTCAGCAAACTGATGGATTGATAAGTTGGTTAACTATGAAAGAAAATATGAAGTATTTCTTGATTTCTAATTACAAAGCCACTTAAAAACACTTACCTGATAATGTCTGTAATGATATTCAAGGAATGCAAGAGTTTGAGTTGTGATTTTGACTATTGTTGCAGCTGTGTAGCAACAGCTGGCAGGCTTTTATTTTTTTAAGACTTCCTGTCAGCTTAACTTGACACCCCTGCAGGAAATGTGTGGTCAACTTCCTCACGGACCATTATCAGTGTCTTCTAGAGGTAATACCCTGTTGAACTGAGGTTAAAAATTGGGGGGAAATCATTGTCTTACACCCTGAGGTTTTTCAAATACATCGAGCTTACACATTAATACGTCAGCATGATATATCCACAAGAACTACTGTACCAGAGCTGCCATTTGTGTGATTTATGTTGGCTAACTGTAGGTTTCTCCTTTAACTGCTTCCTTGCCTTTTTTGCAATCACTACGCTCCATTTGTTTGACTGTGTGTGCTGGTGTTGCTACTCCTAGAACATAACTGTACCCTTCCCCTACAATCTTTTCATTCCTCTCATCCCACTCTCTGGCTGGACGTGGGTGAAGCTACCGCCTCAGCCTGGCCACCCACTCTATCATTACATTATCCTCTTCCATAGCATCACTCTCCCTCTTCCTTCTCCTCCTTTACGTCACAGTCCCCCTTCTTTTGTGTCACAGAACATGGCCGCTATGTTTATGGCATCACATGAGCAATCTCCATCAAATCTCTGGTCATTTCTATATTTTGCTGCCAAGTATAGATGCTATTTTTCCCCGTGAATGTGCCCCGTCTGAAAGGAATGTTTCCCCTCCTTGTTGGAAGGCTGAAACCCATCATTGGAAACAGATGAAAGCAGGATAGACCATGCTGTATGTTTTAAACCCAAAGCAGCAGTCTAACCACCCACACATCTTCTTAAAGCCATATTGGAATTGCATGAAAGTGGAACTGCTTGTCATTATTCCCTTGTCGATTGGAGGTGGGAGTTGCATAATTAAACCAAAGCAACCTACTCATTATTAGTGTCAGTGAAGCAGCATGAAATAAAAAAAATCAGGAAAAGGAATTATTATAATAATAATAATGATAATAATAATAATAATAATAATTATTATTATTATTTGAATTATAACGCTTTATTGGTTTAGCACTCAAAACAAGATTCATGTCACACTTTAAAACCTTTTTCTTGCACATATGCAGCAGATTTGATAAGGTGTTAAAATAGGTAAGAGAAAAATAAAACACACTTAGAAAAGTAAGAACGACATACAGTAAGACGGAATTAATAACTACAATATAAACCTATAAGATAAATAAATGTATGATAATAAAGATTTAAAGTCCAATTTTTAAGGGATATGTTGCTAATTGAAAGCTAATGTATGTTGTTTGAAAATGTCGACCGAATTTGCCTCATATTTTCTGGTAGGGTTTTACAAAGTCTGGGAGCGTAGTGAACACAAGCTGCTTCTTCCGTTTTATTTTAGGGGACTTAATGAATCTGTAAAGGTGAAATATATATAAATATGATGTTAAATCCACCTTTGTGTCTTATCTTGTAACCATTATTTAGTGCATCTGTTGTCTGTTTCCTCCATGTTGAGTCTTTGGGTGGGCAGTGAGTGGGTGGTACAAAACATTGGGTTCAGACTATTTGTACGGAAATATGGAGTTTTAATATTGGATGTAAATTGGCTTAAGTGTAAACAACATAAACCATTGGGGTTGTTGTTATGTATGTTTTGTATTCTACTGAGGCCTATGTGTGTGTATATATGTGTATATTTGCAATGCACACAGCTTCTGTTGTTCAGGACAAATCATTTTGAATTACACCCTTTGTGAATTTCCCAATATTTAAGCATTGTCTCCCCAACAGACCTTTTTCCTTTAACTGTTGCCTTTGTGCCAGCATTAGTGAAGCCAGCTTGCAGCAGTAACTAGAACACCTGCAGTTAAGTAGGATTTAAGTGTGACTCTTAACTGAGGAAACACGAGTGAAACAACTTAAAATGCGACCTGTGCTGAGGGTTAGGCATTGAAGTGAAGATGTGTAGGATTCAAACAAGAACAAAGGAAGCATCTCCCACTTAGAACAAAAATAAACACGCCATGATTTGAGTGTATTTTCCTTTCTTGGTTAAGCTCCCAAGTTTGTTGTTTTTGAAATGTTTACGCCACTAAAGAACATCAAGGCAGTAATATAAATGCTCTGATGTTTTTGCTCTGTTTGAAATACATGTTGTTTGACTATATAAATATGCTCATGTCTCCCATAGGATCCAGCAGGGATCTTCGAGCTGGTCGAGGTCGTCGGCAATGGGACATATGGACAGGTGTACAAGGTGAGATATCACACCTGAACAATGTGTGACTCTATTCAGCAAATGATCTTTTACTTATACGATGAGTTGCTAAGACTACTCTAGTGCCCACTTTCTGTTACATTTCTCCCAGATCACAGCAGATTAAACGTCCTGCTATGTCAGCATATTCATAAGTTGTTAAAAGAAAGTGGCAGAAAGATAACAGACTGAACAGAAGAAAAATGTAAAATAAGAACTCCAAAATGGTGTGATGAAGCAATTAGCCACACTTAAAGGTGGGGTAGGTAATTCACTTCAGAAACACTTTTTGTTATATTCCATGGAATGCTCTTAACGTCCCGATAGCAATGAATATATTAAATGCTTTGACAATAAATATATAAAAAAATGTCCTCTGTGGAAGCCGTGGCGCTGTAAAAAGCACCGGCTAAAATAACTGGATGGCCTACCTGCCTGTCAGCCTTCCATCTCATGCACGAACTTATCTCGTGCCCTCATTGGTCATGTGCGCGTTCGTGTGTGTTGGAGGAGGGGCTCTGTAAGGAAGTCTGAAGGAAGGGGCAGATTATTTTTCGGCTGCGTACTTTCAAATTCTAGCGCACTCGAGCTGGTTTCTCCATTCTTACCTATCCTACTTTTAACTTTAAGTGTTTCAGGAACATGGAGTCCCAAATGTTACTGACCACTGTCTTGCTGATCCAACTTGTCAGGGCCGTCATGTGAAGACGGGCCAGCTGGCTGCCATCAAGGTGATGGATGTCACCGAGGAGGAAGAGGAGGAGATCAAAGCAGAAATCAACATGCTGAAAAAATACAGCCACCACCGCAACATAGCCACGTACTACGGTGCCTTTGTCAAGAAGAGTCCACCGGGACACGATGACCAACTCTGGGTCTGTATACACTCCTAACTGATGATCTTAAAGCAGTGTGCCTCTTTGATGGTGCTCACTGAGTTTGAATTTGTTCTGCATGTAGCTGGTGATGGAGTTCTGTGGGGCGGGATCAGTGACCGACCTGGTGAAGAACACTAAGGGCAGCTCTCTGAAGGAGGACTGGATTGCTTACATCTGCAGAGAGATCCTACGGGTAAGAACCCACAGTGCAAACAGACAAAACCAATGTGCAGCAGCTGTACTCAGTGCTGACCAATTCTGACTTCTTTTTCTGCACACAGGGCCTTGCTCACCTGCACGCCCATAAAGTGATCCACAGAGACATCAAGGGGCAGAACGTGCTGCTGACGGAGAACGCAGAGGTCAAACTTGGTACGTTGAATGCTTTAACATATAAAAATAAGCTAATGATGTCCTCCGTCTTCTCACACACTTTTCTCTCTGACTCCTTTGTCCAGTTGATTTTGGAGTGAGTGCTCAGTTGGACAGGACTGTTGGTCGTAGGAACACTTTCATCGGCACGCCTTACTGGATGGCTCCTGAGGTTATTGCCTGCGATGAGAACCCTGACTCCACCTATGACTACAGGGTATGAGCAGCACTATGTGTGTGTGAGCATTATGTCGTGAGAGAATATGAAAGATAGAGACTAACCTGATCCCCTGTGTGTTACAGAGTGATATCTGGTCCTTGGGGATCACAGCCATTGAGATGGCTGAGGGAGCTCCTCGTAAGTGTGCCCTATTATCATGTTTTTTATAACCTGTTGTAGGGCTGTATAGGTTTATATATTTGTGGAAATCTCATAACATTGCAACCTTATTTGGTTGAATCATGCATTTCCGTGCACTCAGCAGCAGATTATCTCTCATCGTCTCGAGGCCCATTCTTAACGTCTTCACGAATGACTCTGTCTTGCATATTTGGCCTGGCTGTCTGTGTCTTCAGATGGACAGCTGACTCACTGTAATCAAGGTAGTGTAGTCGTGAGCTGGCAGGCGGCCTGCGGAGGCTGATCGCACATCTCTCTGATCTGCTCAGCGTGGAGATCTGTCTGCCTGGAGATTTGCTGTCAACCCTGGACAAAAAGAAAAAAAGTCGTACCAAAGCAAACAAAAATGAATAAGTCAAATAAAGTCCATGTTAAACAGTGACTTAACATCATTTCTAGAATTCTGCCATATTGACCAGTTTGTTGGTTAAATGCAACTATTATAACCCTACCTAAATCAGATTTGAATTGCACGCTATGTTTAGGTTTACTTGGTGTTGCATTTGGCACTAAAGCAGTAAAAGATAGACAGGATTAACAGGTAAGAATCTAAAATGTAAAAACAAGTACCAACAAGGAAGAACATTTAAAAAAGCCTTCTTTGTACGGTCCAAATCATCGGAAAAGCCAATATGTTTGGACAACTGTAGATCTTTTTCAAGGTTTATAACAAACAAACAGTGGGGTGGCCTCACCTGTTTGGGGGAATCACATGACCCGGATGATAACGTGACATGTGAAACAAATTTGAGGAAGTATAGCCTATACAGTGCAGAGAAAACTCTAATTGGGATGTTGGTTGTTAATAGAATAAAAGGTAAGGCCACACCTGTGTTGTGTGTTTATTATTCGCCCAGAAGAACACACGATTGTTTTAATGATCAGGCCACAACAATAATGATTAACTTTTCCTGTTGTTACTTGTTCCTACATTTTGGAATTCCTTCCTGTTTTCCCTGTTTTAAAAAAAGCACCCAACACACCTTCCATCTACAGTATCTTTTAGTTTACAGAGAAACCAGTTATCTCTTTTTCCCAGCAGTTAGAAAACACTGGCATCATGGGGCTGCTGTTGTCTGAGCTCTGCAGTGTCTAAAGCCAGCCTCCTGCAGCTAATTGTTGCCCAAAACTGAGCTCTACTAAATAAAATATTATACAAAGTCTCCCCAGTAGAATACAACTTGTGTTAAACTTTTGAAATTAACCATATTTCCATACTCATGGATTATAGATTTGTAATGAGGATGAGAAGAATTCATAACAAGCTAATTTAACTTTTGAATGTGGAAATAAACACATCAGACACAAATTATTTAGCTTCAAATTTAGAGTCTTGTTTTCTTATTCAAAACAGATTTGTACCACAGGCACAAACAGCATTTTAGATGTTCTCTGAAAGCTTTATGTTTTGTGTTTCACATCACTGAGGAAGATAACAGTGCTCCTTGTTACTGCTGCTGCAAATGACATAAGGCGTACATGCCAAATGTCAAGCTGTTGTTGATGTACCGTTGCAAATCATGCAGTGTGTTCTGACTCACTCATCAGCTTCATTACAGAATAATTTGTATCATTTATTTATTATTCACCACGGATAAAGTTGCTGTGTTTTGATTGGTAAATCGCTAAGAGATGTCCCGCCCCTTAGCCCATCACCTACAATGTGTTGGAGCGCTAGCCAACAGAAACTGTAGTGATGTCACTATGTTACAGAAGTAAACAAAGGAGTCCAATGGAGGTGTTTCAGGCAGGGGGGGGGGGGGGAGTGTGTGGGATAGAAACTCCCTCTGGACTTTGGTAACCTTTGCAGACAATTTACATGCACAAAAACCTATATAACACACTATAGAAAAAAAAAAGTATAATGGGTCCCCTTTAATCTCTGATAAAATGAGTTGCCACCGTGGTTCTTTGACAATAATAACCACATTTAAAGAACCTCTAACAGATTTTTAGGTAGTTATTTAATTACAGCGTTAGTCAACTTTCTATAAACATGCAATTGTCATTGGTAGTAAAACTATTCCATAGATCATTGATTTTGATCACATGACCTACAGTTAGTTATCGTCTTCCATGCTGAAATGGAGAAAGCTGTAGTCAGTTCATCTACACAGAATACGTGCGGTAGGACTGATATTAGAGTGGTATAGGTTTGTGTCGCTGTTTCATGGAGATGCATCATTGTGCCTGTTACAGTAATTTATTCATTTGCCTTACAGGGGTTACTGGCTTACTGTTGGATCATTGTTTAACAAATGAATTATTGAGCATCTTCTCACACACTTTTCAGCACTCTGTTCACTTGCTGTGTTAGCAGACACCGTCTATACCTCTTCCGTTTGTTCACACTTAAAAAAAGCTGAAATGAAAAGCTCTTCCCGTCTCATTCGAAATGCATGTGTCCATAAGACTGCCATATAAAAGCCTACTGACTGTGAAAGTGTAAAGCTAACCAGTCAGGTTTAGCTACCTACGCTGGGAACACAGTGACTCACAGTCCTTGCTCTTACAATGCAACAACAAGCCTCGGGCGCCAGGGAACATTGGATAACAGCAGCTGTAATCATGTTTGAGGATAATAATGTGTACTGGTGGCTAGTTTTATTTACAAACTACCAGGTGTGGAAGTATATGATATTCTGTCTAACATAATAATCCTTATTTATTATGATTTCTGCAGCCTTGTGTGACATGCACCCGATGAGAGCCCTCTTCCTGATACCCAGGAATCCCCCTCCAAAACTCAAGTCCAAAAAATGGTGAGTTATCAAACCCTCCTGCTGTGTTAGTTACATATCAATCATATGATGTCAGGCGTGTGGGAAAGCCTCAAAACTTGTTTCCAAAGGCAAATTAAATATCATAAATGCAGGTTATGGCAGGAGTACTACACAAGAACTGCAGCAACGAGACTAGTCTGTTTACTTTGAGAAAGCAGGTTTCTGCAGAGCCACAATAACCTTGTTAAATGCGTATATAAACACACTTACAGGAACAACACTATGGGATAAATCCTGCTTGTAAATCCTGCTTCTAGAAGAGACAAAATTACAGGACAATATGTGTGCATTTGTGCCGACATTGGGAAAACACACTTTAGGAATCTGTCTCATTTCAAAGTGTGAGACTTTATGTCCCAGTATAGAAACAATATGACTGTGAGCAAGACGAGAAGCCGAAAGTGTGTAAACTAATTTCCCATTTTCTTTCTCCTACCCTGTTTTTTTTTTAATGTTCCTATTACTCTTCCTGCTGCTCGTTAAAGGATCCACTTAGCAGAGTTGACGGTCCCAGAATGCAATGCTTCTTTCATAATGTTTTTTGGCTTCAATCTTTGAAAGCTGCCAGTCAATATCGTGTGACCCAGATGGACCATTATGCAAATACAAAAACATTATTAAGGGATGGACACAATTACAATGAACTCATCAACTCGTGATTACTGCCCATGAACGAGATTGACCTCATTTGACCGGTAGTTTTCATTGGATGGTTATTGAAGTACGATGAATTGTTTTTTGTAATGATTATGTGAAAGTAAAGTAGCATCTCGTAGTGAAGTAGTTGCTCGAACTGGTTATTTACAATGAGACAGGGACAGTGTAGACATGTTTTCCTTTAAGACTGTGAGCATTAACTGAGAATCTTAATCGCTTTAGTTCACACTCGTGTAAGAAAAGGAGATGCTTAGAAATGCCCCCCCAGATAAGGCTGGCAAAAAAACACAGACCTTTGATGAAATTAGCTTACTTTATTAATCCCAATTTCTTTGTCACTGCAGCATGTAAACAAGGCATAGCATATGAAATAACAATCGAATATAAACAAACATAAACAGTTAATATATACCTATGAACAGAACAATAACATAACATATTGTCAGTGCAAGATGTATATCTATAGAGTATCTTTAACGAGTACACAATATAAATATACAGATTTGTCAGTTTACACTCTTGATAGGCCAACTAACAAAATGCAAACATTCGATGCTATTTGAATTAAGTGTGCAAAGTAATTTCATTATTACATTTAAATGTACATGCACAAGGAACAGTGTGAAACTTGGGGAGTTACAGCTGCTCGATGCCCCCCCCCCCGACTCTCCCTCAATGGTTTCCCGTCCTCTAACCTCCCCATTCCTCCCAGGTCCAAGAAATTCCTTGACTTTATAGAGGGCTGTCTCGTGAAGACGTACAACAGCCGGCCGTCCACAGAGCAGCTCCTCAAACACTCCTTCATCCGGGACCAGCCCACCGAGAGGCAGGTCCGAATCCAGCTCAAAGACCATATCGACCGTACGCGCAAGAAGAGGGGGGAGAAAGGTAAGCCGATCAGATTTAAGAAGATTTCCCCGGGCGCCGTAGATAATGGCAGCCCACTGCTCCTAACACTAGGATGGGTCAAATACAGAGAAACCGTTTCGTTACTAGTACCTGTACTGCGTAATGACAATAAAGTTGAATCTTCAATTGAAATGGGTGTTACCCAGGGAACATTATCAGGAACGGTTAACACTGTCTTTGCTTTTTCCCTGTTGCATAATCAGCCTGCTGTTCTTTTATTCACTGTTGTGTGACTTTAATGTTTGAATAGTTTGTGGAGAGGCTGACATCCTCAGAGTACTTATTGAGATTTATTGAACTCCGAACAATGTAGTGTGGTTAGGGTTAGGGTTAGGGTCACACATGAAGATTGTTAGATGCTTAATAGAGAGTGATCTCCTGAAGTATTTTGTATGTTTGCTGCAACACAGTGTTTTCTCATGTGATATTTGACCTCCTTTTATGCTTATTCTCCTTGTAGAAGAAACAGAGTATGAGTACAGTGGTAGTGATGAAGATGAGGAAAATCGAGGAGGAGAAGACCGAGAGTCAAGGTAATTGAAATTTATATTTTCTGTCCACGTCGTATGAATCCTTGACTTGTGTGACTGATTTCCCGCCCCCCTCCCAAAAAATGTTTCCTCATCTCCTCAATTGTGATCCAGCAGTTCAATCCTCAATGTGCCGGGCGAGTCCACGTTGAGGCGGGACTTCCAGCGCCTGCAAGTGGAGAACAAGGAGCGCTCGGAGGCTCACAAGAGGCAGCAGGCCCAGCTGGCCGCCCAGCGCCGGGACCCCGAGGAACACAAGAGGCAACTGCTGCACGACAGGCAGAAACGCATCGAGGAACAGAAGGAGCAGCGGCGCCGACTTGAAGAGGTAACCATCAACGGGAACTGTTCTAGCTTTTAACAGGAACGTTTCCTGATTATGAGAGGTACCCTTATTAGACTTCTAGCTTAATATATGATCAATATTAAGTTAGCAAATGATATTTCTTAGCGTAGCAGAAAGACTGTCATCAGTGGGTAAACAAGCCTGACTCTCTCCAAAGTTAAGAAATACTTCTACCATCACATATTGAATGTTTGCTGTAGCTATTATCCTAGCGCAGAGAGAGAAAAGATTACAGCACATAACCCTCCCTAAAAGTACAGATTAACTTGTTGACCTAGGTTGATTAGGTAAAGGAGATGCAAGGTGTTTATTATTGGGGTTAAGATGTGATGTGTATCTTATTTTTGAACTTTGTAATTTGCCAAGTAGGCTGCTTCTCTCACTTCTTTTAGCCTTTATGCTAAGCTAAGCTAATTTCTTCCTGACTTTAGTTTTTTTCTGAGACTTCAGACTGATATCAATCTTTTAATCCAAGAACACAAATCAGGGTTCTTCCAAAATGTCAAACTACCCCCTTAAAGAAAATTTAAGACTACACTTAAGATTTGACACTCATGATGTTGAGATTTGAAGTACCTGCACAATAAAGTGCTGTATTTCATTTCATTTCAAACCTTTATTTATGCAGGTGAATCCCATTGAGATCATTGATCTCTTTTTCAAGGGAGACCTGCTGCAAGTAGGTTCCACATGAAGACAGAAAAACATAAAACAACAGAACAACAAAAAGGACATCATACAGCAAAGTTACAGGGATTACAATTGACATACCTATCCACATGAACAGGTACCAACAGCATCCGATTGTATAGCATCCAACCGAGCTTTAAAAACATTTAGTGGAACCAGATTGCTCAGTTTCCATTCCTTTTGCAGACTGTTCCAAGTTAGAGGAGCTGCACATCTAAAAGCTTTCTTCCCTAAGACAGTCCTAGCAGTTGGCACATTTAATAAAACCACAGCATGCGATCTCAGGCAATAGCTACTTTCAGTTCGCCGTGAGATCAAGGAAGCAGATATAAGATGGTAGTTTATCCAACATGGCTTTGTAGATGAAAATGTACCAATGACTGAGCGTCCGTACAGTTAGTGAAGGCAAACCTGCCCTTGCGTACAGGGTACAGTGATGGGTTAATACTTTACACTTATCACAGCGATATTGATTCCAAATGTACAACATATAGATGTGTTAAGGGACTTGTTGTTTAAGTGGAGTATAAGCAGTTTATCGTTGAAGAGAAGTCCCACCATGTGTGTCTTAATCATGTAACTGTGTGTTTATAGTTTAGATGCACACATTCATAATAATGGCAGATGCTAACCTCTCATCTTCACATCTTACTTGAACACAAAACCCAGAAACACCAGACAAGAAAAACAGACCTTGATAAAAATAGGATTGTTTGACCTTATTTCCTTTTTGTTGATTTTATAATTAAAGGTAATCTTGCACATTTTACCAGAGGCTCATGATACTAATACATTATGCAACAGGCGGAGCATTTTTAATTCAAAGCAAAACTGTACCAAGCAACTCAAATATGATGTTCCTCGTCTGCAATATGTCTGCTCCTTTAGCCACCAAACTACCTTCAAGATTCAAAGGTTTATTGTCATAACATAAACACAACTACGGTGTATATAGAAATTGTATTTATTGGGATAAACCCCTTGAGATGCACCATCTCGTTTTCAACGGGGTCCCGACAATAGCAACAACTTACAGACATACATACACAAAAAGCAAATCATGACAAACCAGTCAAACCACGTACAGTCTGTGAAGTAAAATTCAAGTAATACATACAATCATTACAATCATTACAATTTGAGAGACAGTCGAGCAGATCAGTTTCATCAATATCAGTTTCATCAATAACAAGTGCAGACCAGTTGAAAGTGAGATGATAATGCATGTTTAAACATACCCAATGATGCAAGAGATCTTATAGCAGCAGCTAAAGTATTCCAGTCTGTTGGGGCTTTGAACATGAATGCTCTTCTGCTAATAGATTAGATTAGATCAGAGGGGACAGAGAAATAAATCTGGACAGAGTGTCTAACTTGATGATTTGGCGAGTAGGGTACAAAATACTGCTTTAAATAAGGGGGATAGTTAAGATAAATGCATTTAAATATCAGCTGGAGCCAATGCGTGTGTCTTCTTACATTTAATGAAGGCCTTTTAAGTTGGTTCTACATTGTGCAGTGATGTGTAAGAAAAGGACAACCAAGAACAAATCTGCATAGTCTATTGTAGGCTATGTTGAGTGGAGCAAGATCTGATTTATGTGCATTTTGGTAGACAACATCACAATAGTCCATAATCGGAAGAATAAGTTGAGAAGCAATTCTCTTGCGGACACTGAGCGTAAAACAAGTGCGAGAGCGGTGTAAGACACCGATTCCGTAATTGACTTTTTGTATTACATGATTTATATGTAGTTTTAAATGAAAATTCAGAGTCTAGCCATACACCAAGATATTTAAAGCTATCAACTTTATCCAGAGAAGTGCCATCCTTACATTTTATTACTACATTAGGTTTAGATTTGAGCTTCTGCCTGGTACCAAAGACCATAGTATAAGATTTTGTTTTGTTGAACTACTGTAATTATGTAATGTATGAAAAACTTAGATCACAGGTTCCTCAACAGTGCATTTACAAAACATAAGGTGTTACGTTTTATGGCCTGTTGGATGAAACTGTCCCTTAGTCTGGTTGTTTTTGTCCTGATGCTGCGGTACCGCCTGCCAGACAGAACAGTTTGTGGCTGGGGTGATGGGGGGTCTTTTATAATCATGAGGGCTTTCTTCCTGAGCCGCTGGGAGTAAAGGTCCTCCATGGATGGCAGCTCCGTCCTGGTGATGTGCTGTGCAGTTTTCACCACCCTCTGTAGAGTCTTACGGTCTCTCTATATACTCTAAACCAGGATTGTCCAAACCTTTTTCACCGAGGGCCACATACAGAAAAATATACGAAGGGCTGGGCCGCTCACTAGAGGTATTTTGCCTCATAAGTTAACCTGCATCTACTTCCTTGATACATTAGATGTTAACAGCTCGAAATGAGCACCACATGTAAAACTACACTTATCTATCCATCAGGTTTTCTGTGTGCCTCTCAAAGCCTTACTGACAAAATAACTAGTTGCCAAAAGTTCAGGTCCGCTTCACAGTATCTTTTTGAACACACTGTTCACTATCATTCCTAGTTGAATAAATAAGTGAACAGTGGGGAATACACTGAGAAAGTCCAGCTCCTTTCAACACAAGTATGAATTATTAATTCTGCAAACAGAGTGAGATGATTTTTTTGTTTGAGAGAGATGTTTAAGGCGTATGAAGTTTATATAAATCCTGGAAACTGTGAAAAGGTGTTCACACCCTTAATGAGGAATGGAAATCAGTGAGTTGTATATAAGTGGCTCAAGATTCAGACTTTCAACACTAAGACGGCTAATCTGCCTGTTGTGAGGTAGAACGTGTAACTCTTTGAATGCTATTTTTTACAATCTATGTATATTTCTATGGATGTGATGTTAGAGAATGAATGCAGGCTAGCTAACAAGACAGCTCTATGGAGGATAATAGAGAAACCTAATGTACACAAGACATGACATCAGCAGAGCATTCACTGTAAAACACAACATGCATAAAATATATGATAAAAATAACATGTTAGCCTTAAGGAGATAGTGTCATATAATCAGCTCATCCTTGCACACCATTGTGAGGAAAAATACAAGCAACTTAGGTGATTAATAAGCTTGCACAGTAAAAGTAGACATTAAATCTATGTACACCTGTAATGTTGCAAATATTTAACATCCACTGAGTGTCCTCTTGTCTTTTTCTCTGCCAAAAAGCAACTTAACTTGCTTGAAGTGTTGTCATATTTACAAATGATCTGGATAAACCCCAACATGTGAACCAACCAGCCCTTACTATCAATCAGTCTGTTCATTTTCTGTCAGATCATCATGTTCCTTTTATGTATCATGCTGCAAAATCCATCTAACTAATATAAGAAACTTTAGAAACACGTTATTCAGCGTTTTTTTTGTTTTGAAGCTATCATTTATCATTCACACACAAAGCAGCATATATTGAAGCAGAGGTGAATTGCAACAAAATTACAATTAAAAGGTTTTCTTTATGCTGTGTTGAATTGTAATTGTTGGGGTTATATTTTCAGGCTTTTAGACTTTACCTAAGCAAAGGTTTTGTTCATTGCTGAGGATCTTGGAAGACTTACCTGCATGACTCAGCTCTTTGGTGTTCTGATGAAGTGCCAGCGGCTGTGAGATGTTTGAGGAGTTACGTAGGATTTGACTGAGGCCTACTTAAGCACACTGATTTGTCTTTTGTTATTAAAATGACTGTGCAGTATTGGTAAGAGTTTTACTGCAGTAAGATTGAACTCCCCTGATACACCACCATCACCTCCTCCTCCTCCTCCTCCTCCTCCTCCATCTCCTCTCTCCCCTCTGTTTGACTGCAAAGTGCCAAAAACAATTGAGAGGACAAGAGCTTTGTGTCATTTCATCACAAAAAACAAACTGTGTTTCAATGTCTGTTTTAAAAGATAAAGCCATCAAAAAGTGAATGAGTGTTTGAAACGAAGCACTCTGATGATGTATTATGTGCACAGTGTGTTTGTGAGAATGACTCACATCCTCTGCATCCCCACTCCCTTTTATATCTTTTTTCCTAGCTCTTTGCACACAAAAAACAAAGGGAGGGTTTTTGCTCATAAGCCGGCTCTCCATTATAAATTCCCCTAGTGCAATTATAGCCCGTGTGCTCATTCCTCTCTTTACTGTCACCCTTCTCTCCCAGCAACAGAGGAAAGAGCGAGATATGGTGAGGCAGCAAGAAAAAGGTCCCCACCGGAGACTCGACGATATGAGACGGGAGGAAGACAGGAGGTTGGCTGAGAGGGAGCAGGTAACCAACCGCAGGAGACCTCAGTCAGCCAATCAGAGCGCAGTGTGGGCGTGTCCACAGGCAACGCACTGCAAGTTGCGCTAGTGGTGAAATTCCATGAGTAGGTTGCCATAGCAGCAAGGGTCTAAATTAGTGTATTTATTCAGAGACGAGTTTCTGTGGGTGAGCTCTCTGCGCCTCTTGTGCTCTGAATCCAGTTTACCCTCAGAAACACAGGAGTCTGGCATCACAGGAGCATAGTAGTGAAGAATACTCATTTTATGTCAACTATTATGATCTATCACACGATGCTATGCTTTATTGGTTACTCTTATTCTTCTACCCTCAGCAATATCACAGCATCAACACCTTATATTGAAAAACCCTGCAAATTATTCTTTATGTTGTGCTAAACCAGGGGTGTCCAAAACATTTTTCACTGAGGGATGCGTACAGAGAAGCATACGAAGGTCTGGGGGGGGGTTTATTATATTATATTGCCTTTTATAAATTCAGTTATAAGTTAGCAAAATCAATCATATGTAGGTAAATGATGCTTGATACTTGAATAACAGCTCTCCGCTGGGTTGCATTTATTTGGTTACAAACAGTGTTGGCAGATCATTCCATAAAACAGTTGCCTCAGATTGCTTATTAAAACGGGGAATAGGAAGGGTCTTTTTCCAGCTTTGTTAGAAAATGCTTTTAACTTTAATTGACTGAATTGATTTGAACCCTCCTGTTGTCTTCGGGTCAAATCTGACCGATTTACTACTTTCATCAATCATCAAGAAAAGGAATTAGTAACCCTCCGGATCACACAAACACCCACACCCACCTACACACACAAATACTCTAAATGTGTTCCCCCTTATGTGCCCAATCCCCCCATATGAATCACACCTGGCACACACACACACACACACACAGAACAATTTGACACATGTCCCGCTCTTATGTGCCCATCCCCCCACATGGATCACACCTGGCACACGCAATACATGTTCAGTGTCTATTCTTTGTATATTTACTGCAGTTTTTCATGTATACCAGTAGTCTGATACAATATGTACAGTTTGAAAGGGTGTTAAATGAAATTTGGTGATGATTAATGGTTTTTGGGTTAATGTAACAGCAGTTAAAACAGGACCGGTCAAATTTGACCGCAAACACCAAATTAAGGCGGGGGGGGACGAAGACAATAGGAGGGTTAAAAGTGGGCTTATTATGACATGAATATTGTGTAATATACTTTTTCATCTATATTTAAGAAGCATAATATAAGACGAGCACAAGTTTCAGGCGTGGGCCGTGTTCCTTTATCCATTTTGAATTTGAGGGCCAATTTTTTTTTTAAAAGTCAACGGCTCGCAGTTGGCCCCGGGGCCGTAGTTTGGACACCCCTGTGCTAAACAGTGAAGCTTTACAACCTTTAAACGGGTAAAGTGCATGTGAAGTGACTGAAATGAAGTGTTTTCTTTGAGTCAGTGCACCGCCCAGTGTCTGTTGTTTCCTGGAATGACGTTACATAACTGTAATGTGCATCTATTTTCTACCCTTGACCTTTTTATACCTTCATTTCTCTCTTCCCCCCCCCCCCTTTAACGCCTGTCCTTCCTGCCTCCTCACCTCTCCTCAGGAGTTTATCAGACAAAAATTAGAAGAAGAGCAGCGGCAGTTAGAAATCCTGCAGCAGCAGTTGCTTCAGGAGCAAGCACTGCTTATGGTAACTAGTCCTCTCTACCTCTTTATCATTTCATGTTCTGACTGCAGAGGTTCCCATGCCCTCTGCGACACAGTGCCTCATCAGTAAAGGAGATTTATTGATCAGCGCTGAACCATTTTCTTCTACCGTCAGGTCCATTTCTTTTGTATAACCCAATATTACCACATTGCATCCGGTTGGGAGGGTTTATAATCTGTACCACAGACAACACTATCCTTAGACCCTCGAGACAGATAAGGAAACAATTGGTGTTTACACAGCAGGGTTACAAGTCTGCCCGAGTTTAGGTGGAGAAAAAGGCATCTTAATACTTTCAGTTTCTCTTAGATGTACTTTGTTTTTTCAGCAGTGTCATGTGCTAGATGCGCATCACCTTGAATCAGAATCAGGTTTATTGCCAAGTAGGTTTAATCAAACACAAAATGTGATTTGGCGTATAGTTGTGCAAACTTAAACATAAGGAAATAAGTTCTAAGAGAAGGATAAAAAATATAACTATTATAAAAGAAAATGTATTTCATTCACACGGAATATAAATATACAAAACACTAATTTCTTAGTACAGTGAGTATATGACCAAATACAGTGGGTGTTTCTCAATCGCGAGTAAAGCTGCTCCAGAGCCACTATTTCAAGCATACTACGTCATCGAGTGCCGCCGAAGTACTGTTCCAATCTCCAGCATACTTGGAAATCTACCGAGCCCGGTGTACTCCGTTTGGAGAAATATCGAGGCTGCACATGAGTAGACTCCGCGGTCTTAAAATCCCCACAATGCTTTGCGCACGGACCAATTTCCAAAATCTGTGGCGGAAAATGTAAGGCGGGGCCTCTCATATGACGCACACCTGCACACTTGCTAGCCTGTTCCACTCTTTGTTTTCCAAATGTCAGGAAGTATTCTTGACTCGCTTCTGAAGCAAGATGCTCGGCAGACATGTGCTACCAAGCAAGCGCACTCGGGCTCACAGTGTTTAAAATAACTATATATTAGTCACGTGATCCAATCCAATCCACTTTATTTCTATAGCACATTTAAAAACAACAGAGTTGAACAAAGTGCTGCACATCAACAACTGTATAAAAACATAGCATAAATACATAAAAAACAGACAGGACATGAAACAAATTTAAAACACGAGACGATGAAACCAGATCAGAAGCCACAGACTGAGAAACTCTCCTACATGACGTAAAAACAATACAAAACACCAGTAAGATAAAAACCCAAATGTAAAAGCACAAGTGTCACCTGGCCTGTAAATGCCAGGGAAAAGAAGTGGGTTTTTAAACGAGATTTAAAAACAGGCGTGATGTGCATACATTTAATGTAAATGGGGCGGGTAAGAGTCAGTTGTAGACGTAGAGAGTATGGGTTTAGCTCCCACAAAACTGCACGTCGTGAAACACATGCGCTGACCTAGATTTTGAGGGCAGTTTGACAGATTTCAGGTTTTTACTGAATCTTCCTCACACTGAAGGGAGGAATTGCCACAGTCTTGATATCTTTGTTTTAGCTCGATCCTGTTGGGCCTACAAGGTGCTTTGCGCTTATATTTATACCTGTTTATACGGCAAGACAAAGATCCTCACTGCTGGATTCATGAGGTGATGAGATTTTTCACATATCCCTCAGAGATTTCACATAGACATCATTTTCGTAGGGACCACAGCTCAGAGCCAGCCACAGGACAGTGACTGTGACCCTGGCTAAATTAGAATCAAACCAAACTAAATCCCCTTTAAACAAATGAGAGGCTTGAATAAAGAGCATGATTGCTTTATGTTGCAGTCGCAAGAATTTATCCCTAATGATTTGCTAGATTTAATGTAAAGATAATTACCTTTTCTGTTGCTATTTTCCTTAGGGAGGTAATTCAATTTAAAGACAAGACCACTAGGCTAACATTAGATGGTCACTCGTGGATTTATGAATATCATATATTACGATCTGCGATGTACATGCATATCTTATCTTGCCTGGCCTAAAAAAAAAAAGAGAGACTCGAAACTGTTAAATATCCGTGTTGCTGCATTTCTGTGTCAGCAGGGTAGGAAGAGCAGCCTAGATGTCCCTCTGAGACACTGTAATTCCTCCACTGTGTTCCCTATCTACTATAAAGTCCCCTCCCACACAGGGAAGCACCTGGGTGAGACTTTACCACCAGGTGCCAGACTGGGTTATGTTTGACTCCTTCTCATCGCCAGTGGCACCAAACAAAGTGGATGCGTCTCCTCGCGGGTCGAGATCTAATGTAAACAAAGTCATGTGCTTGAGGTGAAGGCTACCTGTGCGTCCTCGCTATAAATACCTTGTGGTAGCATCAGGACTACATCAGGATCGCTCCATGAGATGCATGTGTTTTTCATCCTGGTTGGAGAACAGCTTGTTTATGCCTAGTGTTGCATCTATCACTTTTATCAATCCAGTTTAGATTTAACCACAGAAGACTTGGTCAGTGTTGGAAAGTAACAAAGAACAGATACTCAAAACTGTAACCCTTATGTACAAAACGTGAAAAACAAAAATTAGTTAATAGGCTACAGATGGTTTGCTAGTTTATTCTTCCTAAATTCATGGTGAACTAATATTAGATGTATAAACATTACCTCAGCTCTGCATAACTGTGATTGCCAGTCATATTTAAAAAGCACTATTTTCAGCGACTCTAGCTGTCAAATTCCTACTTCACGGGATAAAAACACCACCAGTGACGCTCTGATTCTGCGTCGATAGGGTTAGGGTTACTTCTTTCCTATTGGTAGGTTTCTGACCAGTCGCTGCACACCACTAGGTGACACAGTTTATGCCCGGTATCAGAAGGCTGCGCCACATAAACCTGCCTCCTCACATGTCATTTACCAATCAAGTGCGTGTTCACCTCCTGGGCTGCTGTCTGAAATCTGGGATCCATTTCAAGGTGTTTTTGCCTAAAACGGGCTTCTGCACCCACACTGGCATCAGCCATCATACCCCTGGCATCTGCGACTGACCAGTGGGCGGGTGTCCATTTCCTCGTGTCATTATTAGTATGAGCCGTCCACTTTGTTTACTGTCACTGGCAGTCAGGAAGAAAGTAAACAGTACCTAAGTTACAATTGAGACTATGGCTCTGTGATTGCCAGTAATGTCGGTCAGTCAGAACCTTTTTTTTTTTAGGACAAGAATATTCTGAAAGGCCGACGGTGGACATCCAGGTAGTTTTATTTTTTAGCTGCAACATGCAGGAAGCCTAAACATCATGCACATTCATTTTTTTACATTAGATTTCAACCTGCGTCATCTAGGAATTCACAGAACCATGGATACGTTTGCAACTTCCATGTTCTCACGGTGGAGGGGCACCTCAGTCTCAGGCTTGAGTTGTACATCTACTGCTTCACTTTGTGGCCCATCGTGATGTGAAAATTAAAAAAGAACATAGAACAAATGACAACAAGCACTTAAAAAAAATCTATCTGTATTTAATTCATGCATGGGGAATTCTCTTTTTCTTTTATTTATGAATGGGGTGGCCATCAACAGGCAAGAGACCTATGCTTACAACTCAGAATGAAGTCAAGTTTTTCATTTTCTCACTTTCTCTTAAACATACAAATAAGTTAAACCTGACACAATCAATATTCTTTTGATGTGGGTTGGTGAAAGGCTGCTGTACTAAAATTAGGATTACACACAACGATACACACTTTCTTTGGGTGAATAAATGAATTCTAAAAAGTCATTTGTGTCCAGTCTGAGACGAGCTTTGGCTTAACTGCAGTGTGTTTTTTTTTTTTGTTGCTCAGGAGTATAAGCGCAAGCAGCTGGAGGAGCAGCGTCAGTCGGAGCGGCTGCAGAGGCAGCTGCAGCAGGAGCACGCGTACCTGGTGTCTCTGCAGCAGCAGCAGCAGGACAAGAAGCCCCAGCTCTACCACTACAACAAGAACCTGGAGCCCAACAACAAACCCACATGGGCCCGGGAGGTAGCAACGTTACCTGAAGCATCACACAACACAGTCGAAGAATAGATAGATAGTTTTGTTTATTTGTTTATAGTGTCGTGGACAGTCCACATTAATCAACTGTCACAAAAAACTGTAAATGGGGCATGTTACCAAACATAGCTAATTTCCAGCTGTTGTCCCCGGCCAGATGATAATAGACACCCTTAAAATCACAATACATCATAGATAGATAGATAGATAGATACTTTATTGATCCCAATTTAGGAAATGATTTTGTTACAGAAGCAGACGTGTGTTCAGACATTAAAATGCAATACTTTAAATACTTTAAAAAGGGAAAAAGAGAACTAACAATTAAAAATAAAATGACAAATATTATATCAAATATACACAATATAAACAAAACAATATAAAATATTCTGGATCATTAAAATAAAAAGCATAATACTGCACACTGCCCTACATACTTCATTCACTGTCCTCCTTGTTTCAGGTGGAGGAGCGGAGTAAGCTCAACAGACAGGGCTCGCCCAAAATCTGCACCACCGTCTCCGACACTGCCATCCAGTCGCGCTCTGACTCCATCAGCCAGTTGGGAGTGGGTCTATCTGCCCAGACCCCCCCCATGCAGAGGCCTGTCGAACCCCAAGGGGGGCAGGGGAAGGTGGGTGCTTCCAAGTGTTTGAAATGTAGTTCCTTTAATCCCCCTAGAAAAGCAGCTGACGACAGAACAATCTTTTGAGATAAGATCAGTTTAGATAATTAGATAGATTAGACATTTATTGATCCCACTAGGGACATTCAGAGGGTTTAGCAGCTAAAGCAATGAGATTAAAACACATGATAGGACAGTTCAAACAAGGATACAAAATAAAGTGAGAGTATACAATAAACAGAAAATGGGTTGAATACTATTTTAGGATATTACTGATGTTTAAAAGGGTGGTATTAGAGTTTAAACAAACATCCTATCTGGTCAATTTCTTTATTACTATTTTAGTTTTTTTCTGTCGAACCCCAAGGGGGGCAGGGAAAGATAAGATGGACCTTTATTAATCCCCATGGTGAAATTCAGTAGTTTAACAGCAACAGGGAAAGGATGGAAAACAGGAAAGCACAGATTAATACAATCAAAGATCAAAATTAAAATAACTATGAAATAAGAAATGAATTAAACTGGTGGGTGCTTCCAAGTGTTTGAAATGTAGTTCCTTTAACCCCCTAGAGAAACAGCTCAAGATACAACTGCCTCTCCCTTCTGCCCCTGACTCTTTAGCTGCTTCATCTGTCTATGCTACCTTATTCATGCCTTCCTTTTTTACATTCCTTCCTTTTCCCCTCCACAAACCTGTGATCTCTTTTCTCCTTGGATACCTCCTGCGATCTCCTCTTGCTCCTCCTCCCTCCGCCCTGCTCCTCCTGTCCTCTTCAGTTCCAGATGGCTCACCTGGTTCCTCTGAAGCCCTACGCTGCCCCTGTCCCTCGCTCTCAGTCCCTCTGTGACCAGCCCACTAAGACCATGTCCGCATTCCCCACTCAGGACCCGTCCCTCACCCCCACGCCCCGCCCCATCCACTCTAGAGAGCTGGTGCGTCAAAACTCAGACCCCACTTCTGAAACTCCGGCCCCCCAGGGACTTCTTATCGGAGATGGACCCTGGATCCGCCTTCCTGATGTGGAACTCCCACCCAAGGTGAGTCTTGTGCACATGTGTCAAACTCGAGGCCAGGGGGCCAAATCAGGCCCTTGGTGGATTTAATTTCGGCCCGCAGAATAATTTCTAATTACTATTAGATCTGGCCTGCTGGTATATTGCACGCACACCTTCACTCAATCCTGAGGATCTCCTCAGCTCAGAGCCTGACCCCAAACATTGATGACCTTGCACCCAAGATGAGATGCCAAGTATCTGGCTTGAACTAGCATCACAGAGCAGCACACTGAGTTTACATGGATGTTTCCTTCTGCACTTTCTTTCTTGAGACAACAGGGCATGTTTGGTTTTTTCTTTGAGGGAAATAGTTTTGTTGAAGCTGTTGTTGGCCTATGGAAAAATGTAATCATAAGAAATGACTCGGGGGGGGGGGGGGAAAAGCTGCAGATAGAGCCATAAGAAATTAATGCAACTGATTATTTCATGTTTAATGTTGTTTTTATAGGCAATCATTTAAGCTTTGTTAGTTCCAGGTTTAATATGTGCAATAAGTTCATTTCAATAAGTTTTGCAATAAACATTGAACCAGTCCGGCCCTCGACTAGTACCCATTTTTTTATTTTGGCCCACTGTGTATTTGAGTTTGACACCCCTGATCTAGTGGCTGGCCATGACTGTAGACTTTTTGCACAATTTTTTATTAATATGCTGTATTGTTGGAGGAGCTCGGGTCAGAAGAATTTCATAGCCATTTCTACACTGTAGCTTTGTGCATATGACAATAAAACCTTTGAATCTTTGAAAATGACTCAGCAGTAGGTGAACAAATCAAAACATAACACTGGTTAGCATTTCTGTTTAACATTCTCCCTTATCTTCTAAATAATATTCTTGTTGGACAAAATGAAGTAAACTGACCATGAAAGTTGTCCGTTTTAAGAAATGTAAACCTCAATCTTTTGAGATAAGATAACATCTAAAATTCAGATGTTTTAGTAGCTTAAGCCATGAGATTGAAACACATAAGACAGTTCCAACAAGGATTAAAGGATACCAAATAAAAAGAAAGTGAGAATATACAATAAAAAGAAAATGGGTTGAAAACAATTTTAGTAAAACACCTGAACTGTTGAAACATCCACAATATTCATCTGGCTGCTACTTAAAAATTATTTATCTATTTACTAATATATCATATTTCAATGACTTGCATATACTGTAGACTCTTATTGCACTATTTCACTTTTTTAAACTATTTTTCTTCTTGTATTTACTATTTACTTGCACTATATTTTTTCTGTTTTGTGTTGCACTGTTGGAGAAGCCTGTGACACAAGATTTTCATCGACATAACTACACTGTAGCTATGTTCGTTTGACAAATAAAGAACCTTGAACTTGAACCTTGAACCTTGAATGATGTTTATTAAGGGTGGTATTAGGGTTAAAACAAACATCCTCTCTGGTTAATTATTTTAGTTTTTTTCGACCACATTTTAATGTACCTGCTGTTTCTTCCCTCAGATTCCTCAGAGGACAGCGTCCATCGCCACAGCGCTCAACACCAACCTGACCTCTGGCATCAGGCACCCAGTACGAGCCAGGTACTGCGGGAACTAGTTATCCAATATTTATTTTAATAAGTGCCTGTTAACACCTGAGCTCTGTTAAGTGCCTCGATAAACATTCATCTGTTTGTCATCTTGCAATCTACTTATTTATCTCAATAGTTATCACCGCAATAAACCGTATTTCATTTTGTCTTAATGTACAATATTTAATTTCACATTCTGTTCTTGTATATATCATATTATATTTACATGTATATAGACTTCTTGCACTATTTTTATTTTTTATTTTTATATTTTATTATATATGTTGCATTGTTGCAGGAGCTCAGGTCAGAAGAATTTAATTGCCATTTCTACACTGTAGCTAATGTGCATATGACAATTAAACCTTTGAATCTTAAAGGTCACCTATTATGCAAAATCCACTTTTTCATGTCTTTTCTACATCAACATGTGTCCCCTCTGTGGAAAGAGACTCTGAAAGTTTCAGGAACAAAGATTCTCTCTTTTTGTCCTGATCCATTTATATAAAAACCTGTCTGAAAATGAGCTGATCAGATTTTGACCACTTGATGATGTCATAACGATGTTTTGGCTTGTGTAACCATTAGCCAATCACCAACCAAGGTAACCCCCCCCCCCACCACCTTATCACCTGAATCTCCTCCTAGAGCACATTGTGTTCTTTTCAACCAAATCTCTCTCAGAGGGGCGTGGGGAGGGGCTCCTTATTTTCATCTAAAGTAACAGACAGAGAATCAGCACTTTGGAAACAGGGCTGAAACAGAGGGGATTATGGGATGCTACAATGATCTGTTTGAAGTGTTTTGGCTCTAAATGCCAGAGACATGTTTTGTATATATCTGAGACCTATTGACCTATTGATGGAAAAACAGTATAATAGGGGACCTTTAACTGGTGCTCGATAAGACTTCCGATAACTGATTTGTTTTCTCACAATAGCAATCCGGATCTGAGCCGCAATGATCGCTGGGAGAGAGGAGACAGTATGAGCATCATCTCCAATCTGCCCCAGACCGGCTCTCTGGAGAGGCATCGCATCCACAGTGAGTCCCTGCCTCCCCCATGCTATTCCTCCGCAGATTATCTGTCTTATTTCAGAGTTATAACTACACTCTACAACATTGTTCATTTCAGGCTCCTCCAAAATGGATTCTCCCATGCTGTCCCATGATAGTCGTCACAAGCCGGGGGAGTCTCGCACCTCCTCCCGCCCCGGGCGCCCTGCTGTGAGTTGTTCTTTTAAAACAGACATTTTATTGGCCGTTTCTCCAGTATCCCCTACTTAAACTACAATACTTCAGGGTGCATGCAACACGTAGTAGGGTTGTGCAGTGATGACGTATTTCTGTAGGCCGACCCGGAAGTTAGCTTCACAAAGGTTTCCACATCGGATTTCAGTTTATTGCAGAAAATAACGTTTCTGGCCAACAAATGTTTATGATACTTTTTGTTCAGCAGGATAATCTCCACACGTTACCACCACTTTGTGATTTTGAAAACGTAAATGCAATCCGTAATAAGGAAAAAGCTAAAGGCAATAAACCAACTACACAACGATCACATGACTTCACGACAGCACCGCTAAGCTAAAAGTGGACTAAACTTTGCCGTTAAGTCCACCTTTAGCTTAGCGGTGGTGTCATGCCGGCGTGTTTTGCTGTTTTGTGGGCAGTTTACATGACACATAGAAGCTTCGGACATTCACCTTCACACGTGGGTGAGGAGCTCGACGCTCGTGAACTGTCAGCAGGAGGACGGGGGGAGCCTCGCTGTCAGTGCAACTTACATGATGCCGAATTTAAATAATTGGTTTAAACGGCATAATAAGGACGATCGTCCGTTCTGTGATTCTCCAGAACACACATGGCCAGTCCACCCCTTTGTAGCATATTAATTTGATGAGAGATGAGCAGATCGCCACTGGGCTTTCAACTAAAGACACAGCGTGGTGAAACGATCAGCCCTGCACCACGGAGGAAAGTGGAAGAAAGTCGCCTGGAGTTAAAGAGAGCAAGGCTGCGTTTCGTGCATGGCTTCCTTCTGCAGGTAACGGGGAGACGCGCTCTGGCGGCGGTCTCGTTCAGGATTCGAAAATAACATTTTAATATTTTGCACACTTATTCCACTTATTCCTAGTGTGCCACTGCGTTAGATCAACATTAAACATTTAATAAGCTCGTGTTAACCACAGACCTTATTTTAGGCTTCTAACCACAAACCATTGACTTCGAGAAGAGGGAAGCGGAAGTTCTTAAATGCTGACTAATTTCTGGGTTTTAGGATTCATCACTGCACCTCTTAATGTTGTATAATCAAAAAACAAGAACTAATTGACTGTACATAACCTTAGTCGTTTTCAAACACCTGTTCTATACATTGACAGAGTTTACTAACCCAAGGTTTTCTCCTCGTATATCCTTAACACTTTTTCCTGAGCTTCACACAATTGCTGTTCATGTTTCTCCTCTTCTCAAATCCCTGTTTGTTGACTCAATTGTGCAGAGTTACAAGAGAGCTATAGGGGAGGTTAGTATTCATGTCTTTGTGTGTTACGCAACGCTAAGTGTTCATGCATGAGTTTGCACCTGCATTATTTGGATGCAAGTGATTGTATAGAATGAATTGCATGCTGTACATTGTTGTTGTTTATTGGGTACATCATGTGGTGTCTTTGAATTAAATTCCACTCTATAAATAAAGTCATTTGTAATGTGTTTACTTACATCATACCCTCAACACAGGCCTTCTAACCACGCCTGAAAATCATCCCAAAATGTCACTTCAGTTGTGTTTGGATTGGATTATTTTAGCATGGCACACGTGAATGTCTACTGTCTTTGATGGATGTTTCAAACTGTTTTGAAAGCATTTGTAAAGTAAATGGTGGTGTATGTGTGTGCAGGATCATGGCCTGTTTGCCAAGGAGCGCGCTGAGGAGCAGCCGAGGCCTCCGGTGAAAGCCAACGACTACTCGTCCTCCTCGGAGAGCAGCGAGAGCAGCGAGGAGAGCGAGAGCGGCGAGGGGCCCGAGGAGGAAGAGAGCCCCACAGATCGGTAACTGTTAGAAAAATATCACTCGTCACCAGCTTCAATATCAGGATACATGTATTTATTATCCTTGCAAGAATGGAAGTCGTCATCACATACAGAGCATCAACTAGTTCCTTCACATGCTGATATACAAGAGAGGGAGTTGCACAGTCACAAGATGGAGGAATACCAGTTCTTGTCGGTAATCATAAATCGTTTCATGTACAAAACACTGAGTTTTTTTCTCAAAATGTTGGCTTTTTTTGGAAAATCTCAAAATTCTGACTTTTTCTCGAAATCTCTAAATTCTGTCTTTTTTGCAAAATTCTGTATTTTTTCGCAAAATTCTGACTGTATCTCAAAATCCTAATCCATAACCCTTTTTCTCAAAATTCTCTAAAAATCTCAAAATTCTGACTTTTTCTCAAAATTCTGACTTTTTCTCAAAATCTCTAAATTCTGTCTTTTTCTCAAAATCCTGACTTTTTACTCAAAATCTCAAACAGTGTCCTTCACATGCTGATATACAAGAGAGGGAGTTACACAGTCACAAGATGGAGGGACATAAAGCAGTATTCAATGTTTACTTCAGATTAGCTCCACGTCAGAAATGATCATGCTTGTCATATGTCTATCTCCATAGAGGCTGAATCATCATGTTAATCACATAGCTATCATATGCCTCAAACAGTCCTGATGCTCTTCTAGGTAATCATACATCCTGTCATGTACACAGCTACAGTTGGGATACCTTTGTTATCATGTGGACTCTGATATTGGAAGAGTACATTCAGTATTTTCCCCACAGTAACACTCACCCATACAGATGCTAACAAGTCAGGGAGCCAAATAATTCTACGTGTCATCCTTACTACTTTTACTCTCTACGATGTCCGGTGCCTTGCTCAAGGGCACCACGGCAGGTGTTGTATGGAAAGTGCTATATAAATAAAGCTTTATTATTATCCTTGACTTGTGTTGGTCTCTTGATGTCAGTCACAGGGATGGAGACACTGATTCAGTGAACACCATGGTGGTTCACGAGGACGAAGGGGAGCAGGCTGGAGGCTACGGGGATCAGACCATGCTGGTGCAGAGGGTGAGTCATCGAGGACGTGATGGTGCTTTAAATGCATTGTGACTTGTTGGTAAATCAACACACAATTTGTCAAAGAGTATCACAAAGCTCCAAGGCACAGGCACTGGGTCTGTTGTTGTTGTGGGTTTTTTTATACACATTGACGAGCCATTTTCCATGCACCCTTGATAAGCTGCTAAAACACAACATGCAGAAAAAGCTCAGCAATGTTTTACAGAAAAGCACTTTCTGTTATTTCACTGCTTTGCCCCAACGCTCAAAAAGCACTTGATTATAAACTGAATTTAGAAGGGGAAGAGAGTTGACTACTAAACTAAGGGATAATGAACATGATATATAATATAAAAAGAAAAATATTGGTGCATGGATGCTTACAGGATCATCCTAAAGTAGACAATATACACCTTTTCTAGTAACTGTATGAATAATGTTAAATTTGTTTTTTTATTTTGGGTTATGTCAGCCTGTGTTACGTGGGCATACATCGTTTGAGATTGTTGGCGAGACAGAGATGTGATTCAGAGACAGACAGTGGCTCATGCTGAGTTGAATGTGTGAAATGTCACCTTCACTGAAGAGAAATTGTTTTGCTTGTTAATGCATTTTATTATGCAATTAGCGTCAAATATGTGTGCCAAGCTACAATGACCTCACTGAATGTCAGAGAAAGATATTGAGCTATTAATTAGCCTGGTATTATAAATAAAACACAAATGTGACCCGCTCCATCTAAATCAGTCGGAAGTCGCAACGGCTCATTTCAAAATAAACGTGGATTTGTGTAAAAAAATAGTTTTTCGGGTGTTTTGTTTGATTTGAAACAAACAAAGTCTTGGCTTTCAGAATATGAAACTTTTATTTCCAAAATCACACGATAAATACATGTTTGAAACTTGTAAAGGGAAGATGACAGCTCTCACTCGCCACTCTGCTCTTCCGCAGCGCTGCTTCCCCTCCCTCCGGCTGAAATTATGAATGCAAGGCCTATAGTAATCATAGATAACACGGCAGGGTCCGTTACAGTTTGTTTTCATCTGATTTCAAATAAACAAAGTCTTGGCTTTTAGAATATTAAACTTGTTTCGGCAAATTCAGATGATAAATACAGCTTTGAAGCTTGTAACGGCATAATTACAAGCGGAGAACGGAGTAACTTGACGTCACAGCAGGCATAACAACAGCCGGTGTTTCTCGTGAGTGTTTTCCCCGGGAAACAAACACAATACACACAAATGCAAAATTACACAAACACACACACACACACACACACACACACACACACACGTATACCACACACACTCACTCGCTTCCCCCAGACCAGTAATCCAAACGAGAATATCTTCCCTCCGTAGTACTTTGATCATTTGCTAATAATCAATCAGATCGATGGATTCCAGAGAAGAGGAAACTTTGAAGGCCTTTTTCTCAAAATGATAACTCGGTGACAGTCATTATATAATGTGACATATTTTGCTTAAAGGGGACCAATCATGCAAAATGCACTTTGGTACGTCTTTTATACATGAATATGTGTCCCCGGTGTTCCAGGGAACTCACCAAGTGTCAGAAAACACAACCCTCTCTATTTTCCTCCATACCCAAATCTCTAAAAAAGGGGCTGCAACGGATCTGATAAAAACTGATCTAGATTTGAACACTGTCCTGACGTCAGGACGGTGGCGCTACGGCTATTGGGCCAACTCTCCACCTATCAGGAGGAGACAACCACGGCATTGCCGTTCGAAAGCGCTGGAGACGCTGTAGTACATATGCCAGGCCAGTAGATGGTGCTGTTCTCACTGAATCTGCCCTTGCAAAAACAGAGCTAGAAATTGTCAAATTGAGCGAAATGAGGCATGGCTAAAATGCATGATCTGTTTGGTATTTTGAAAAAAAAAAAAGTATAAATATGCCTTATATAGGTATGGTCCTACACTATATTATTATAATATAGCATGATAGGTCCACTTTAATATTTGGAGTACAACAACAATCCTGATATCATTAGAAAGCTATGAATCTCCTCTTTCCTACAGTGTATACAACTCAAAATGTGTCTTCGGGTCAATGCGACTGATTTCGATGGAGCAGGTCACAAATGATCTGGATATTTTTTGATTACTTTCCCACATACTGTGAATGTTGTTTATATTTTTAGAGCAAGTCCTCTCACACGTTCTAATGACGGCACAGACATTCAATCAATCTTCAATCAAAGTTTATTTATATAGCCCAATATCACAAACTTTACATTTGTCTCAAGGGACTTCAGAGTTTGTACAGAATATGAATATGAATACGACACCCTCTGTGCTTGGACCCTCACACTGGACAAGGAAAATCTCCCAAAGAAACCCCACAGCTAATGGGGAAACATACTTTTAAATACATTTAAAAACAGTCAGTCAGGGTTTTTGTTAATCTACCCTAGGTAAAATACTGACGAGGGATAAGTACCTCATATAACCCCATTTCACGACATCCAAACTATTTGATATGTTTGAAAGCGTAGAGCGTTTTAAAAGTGTTTTAGATTCTCGGTTCTATCCAAGTGTTGTATTTTATGGTCAAACCAAAAATGGCATTTCATTGGCTGCTTGTAAATAACAAAACCCCATTTATAACATACAAAGAGACACAATAAATAACATGAAGTTTCTAAAGCAAGTTTGGTCACGACTTCACTTCTTGTGTTTACTTTGGTCTGCTAACCACATGGGTCATATTCTGGTTATTGGAGCAGCAGATTAGCCTAGATTCAAGTCTCACAGTAACAATATAATAATGTCTGTGTGTGTGTGTGTGTGTGTGTGGTTTTTTCACCTGAAAGACCCCAGAGAAGCGGAGTCATAACGGATACACTAACTTGCCAGATGTGGTGCAGCCCTCCCACTCGCCCACTGATTCTGCCTCTCACTCCTCCCCTGGGAAGGACTCTGTTTATGATGTAAGTGTTTCTGAGGCTAAATATATCAAACCTAAATTCCTTGTTTATTGGTATGAGATCCCTCTCTGCAGTGTTCCTTTGCACTCTTCTATCTATCTCCCTTTTATCGTTTATTCACTAGTACTTAGTTAGTCTACTTCAGTGTTTTTTAACTTACCCTTTATATGTGTATGTTGTGTACTCTATTGATATATATCTTTCTATCTTTAAAATGTATATATTCACTTTTTTCTAATGTTTTATTCATGTACAATGTCTTTTTACATGCTACTGTTACAAAATAAAATCCCAATTTGCTGAACAGAATAAGAAAAAACATAACGGTGAAATGAAAATAAGTCAAACCTATTTACAAAAACACCACAGAAAGAGTTTTATCACAATTCAATCAACCATGAACAATGATCCGAGGCAAATTAAACTCATGAAAATCAGTTCAGCTTGTTTTTAGACTTTCATCAAACACATGGCTGTTAAAACTGCTGTTTCAATGCCAAGGAAAATATGTTTTTTCACATTTTATCTGACAATCTCCTCTATATGAATGTTGATGTAACGTTCTGCTCCGACAGTATCAGTCCAGAGGTTTGGTGAAAGCATCTGGAAAGTCCTCCTTCACCACCTTTGTGGATCTAGGCATGTACCAGAGTCCAGGGGGTCCCGGGGACAACATGTCTCTCACTGGTGAGTCAGAAGCTGTTCACACTCCAATCTACTCTGACTTTCTTTAACATTGAACAAGGAAATGACCGCTGATTGCAAACAATCCACTACCTTAAGCTTTGACAGTAATTGTTGTTAACTTAGGAACATTTAATATAGCTGTTTTTTCTTCAAGACTTAAAGGTGGGGTAGGTAATTCACTTCAGAAACACTTTTTGTTATATTCCATGGAATGCTCTTAACATCCCGATAGCAATGAATAAATTAAATGCTTTGACAATAAATACATACAAATATTTCATCTGTGGAAGCCGTAATACTGTAAAAAGCACGACCAACCATCTGAGCCGGCCCGGCTAAAATAACTGGATGGCCTACCTGCCTGTCAGCCTTCCATCTGTGCACAAACTTATCTCGTGCCCTCATTGGTCATGTGCGCGTTCGTGTGTGTTGGAGGAGGGGCTCTGTAAGGAAGGGGCAGATTTTTTTCAGTTGTTTACTTTCGAATTCCAGCGCACTCGAGCTGGTTTCTCAAATTTACCTACCCTACCTTTTAAGATTAGTTCCTATTACAACATATTTATTTAAAAAAAAAAAAAAGTAGCATGTTAATCAGCATCCCTGTTTAAAAAGGATAAACGTTCGAGTCTCTAAAAATATATGATTTGCAAAACTGTGCTTTTAATATAATGTGACTCCAAATAAATACAAAATAATAAAAAGGCTAAATGGGAGACGTGTGTCCAGTTCCCAGGTTTCTCTTCCTTAAATAATCTGGTTCTCTTGCCCCCCCCCCCCCCTGTCTAGGCTCCAGGTTTGAGCAGCTGAAGATGGAGGTGAGGAAAGGATCCATGGTGAACGTCAATCCCACCAACACGCGCCCCCCCAATGACACGCCTGAGATCCGCAAGTACAAGAAGAGGTTCAACTCTGAGATCCTGTGTGCCGCGCTGTGGGGTGAGAACACATTCCACACCCGTTATTAATCCCACAAATTCAGTTTTTCCACTGTGTTATGAAGAAGCTGTCAGGGTGCCTTGCTCAAGCACACCCTGCAATGTCCCTGAGGTTAGATAGATAGATACTTTATTGATCCCAAGTTGGTGAAATTATTCTGTTACAGCAGCAATATGTTCAGGCATTCAAATATTTGAAAGGTAGAATGAAGTGTAAACACTTCAGCTCAAAGAATACACAATATAAAAATGTTCTGGTTGAATTACAATGTTCTCTAAAGAAACAGCAGCAGAAATGTAGACATGACATATATAACATATATACCTAGGATACTCTATAAATAGTATGTTAATTGGCACCTCCACACTCTGCCAGTAGTCCGATCGGGACTACTGGCGACGTCTCAGTTCCCGAGCCAAGTCCCTACAGACCACCAATGAGATTAAACACCAAGCATCTGATCCATTATTTAAAAGATGTTTAAATAATAATATGTGTGTGTGTGTCTCCAGGAGTGAACCTGCTGGTGGGCACAGAGAACGGTCTGAAGCTGCTGGACCGCAGCGGGCAGGGGAAGGTTTACCCCCTCATCAACTCCCGCAGGTTCCAGCAGATGGACGTCCTGGAGGGCCTCAACCTGCTCATCACTATCTCAGGTCAATACAGCTCCTCACCAGGCTGAGCCCTTTTTTTTTTGTGAGGGTAAAATGACATTACATTCAAGATTTCATGACACCTAGAAATTAATTGTCAACACAATTTGACTTAAATTAGATAGTACCAATTAATACTTCATCCCAACTCATTTTTTCGTCACCAGGCTGATCCCAATGCAGCTGCTGAACTTTAGGAATAAGACTTCCCTTAATGGGATGCCGAATTGTTCCAATGCCTTCAGAGGGATTACTTGCTTTAACTTTGCTCCTGAAGGTCACAAGAAAGCAGTTTTTATGTCTGAGTAAGGGCCTGAAAGTTTTGACAAAAGCTTATATCACAACAATTTTTGAGAACTCAAGCAAAATGACATCCAAAAATGAGAAAATAGTTTTATAATTTACTGTGTTAATGATTTTAATGATAATTTGAGGTGATTTCTGATGCTTTTGTTAGATATATACACATAACATCTTGACAATTAATCAGTATTATGTTAAGAAAGAAGCAGAAATATGCAGTGTTCATGTTTTCACACACAAAAAGTAAGTTTGCAAGTGACTGTAAAGTAGTAAAGATTAAAGTTGGATCCTGCTCTACTACCAGAACCGACAGACATGACCTTGTTCACATTAAATACATTTTAGTTTTAAGACTCCCTGATCTTCTGTTTGTCGTCTGCAAAGTTTGACTTATTGCTGATAATAGTATTGATGTTCCTCTGGCTCTTTGAAGGCAAGAAAAACAAGGTGCGTGTTTACTACCTGGCCTGGCTGAGGAACAAGATCCTGCACAACGACCCCGAGGTGGAGAAGAAGCAGGGCTGGACCACGGTGGGGGAGATGGAGGGCTGCGTGCACTACAAAGTGGGTGAGTGACGGACCACCATTGTTTTATGACTGCGGTCTATTCCGCTCTGGAGAAATTCTCCATAAATGCATTTGGCACGGTGAATTATTGATTACGAGTGTCTGATGTCAGATGGCCTTGTGGTTGTTCTATCCAGTGAAATACGAGAGGATAAAGTTCCTGGTGATTGCTTTGAAGAATGCCGTGGAAGTGTATGCTTGGGCGCCCAAACCTTATCACAAATTCATGGCCTTCAAGGTAAGTCTCCTCTTTCCCATGAGCCCAGATTAGCTGCGCACGATCAGCCAACCAGAAGAGCATTTAAAAAGGACACATGATGCTCAGTTTCAGGCTCATATCAGTATGTAGTGTCTCTCCTGTGACATGTCTCCATGCTTTAATGTTCAAAAAGCTTTTTATTTTTCTCATACTGCCTGTGCTGCAGCACCTCTTTTCACCCTCTGTCTAAAACCAGAGCCCAGTCTGCTCTGATTGGTTAGCTGGCTGGCTCTGTTGCCATTGATCATAAGCTTAGAGATCTCCCACCCCTTAGCCTATCACAAGTAGAAGTGTGAGTGCTACATAGTGATGTCACAAAGGTGTCCAGGAATTTGGATTCAAGCCGTTGCGGACCATTTACATGCAAAAAAAAACGTATATAAAAAAAACCCAAAAAGCATAATCAGGCCACTTTAAGTTGATTATCCTCTCGCTTTCTGCTCCCAGTCTTTTGCAGATCTGCCACACCGGCCTGTCCTCGTTGACCTGACCGTGGAGGAAGGTCAGCGGTTGAAGGTCATCTACGGTTCGTGTGCTGGCTTCCATGCCATCGACGTGGACTCCGGAAACAACTATGACATTTATATCCCCGTTCATGTACGTTGCACAGCTTTCAGACAGCAGTGTTTTCTTTGTTTTAGGATGTGAAAGGAGCTCACCCCTCTTGTTTTCCTCCCAAACAGATCCAGAGTCAGGTGTTGCCGCACGCCATCGTGTTCCTGCCCAGCTCAGACGGCATGGAGATGCTGCTGTGCTACGAAGACGAGGGCGTCTACGTCAACACCTACGGACGAATCATCAAGGACGTGGTCCTGCAGTGGGGCGAGATGCCCACATCTGTTGGTGCGGCACAAAGTCTAAAAACACACTCACATGGACACAAAAGGGGATGTTTAAACTCTACAAATTGCTCTGTTTGCCTTAAGCTGATTCTTTATTCTGCCTTGCAGCTCACATCTGCTCCAACCAGATCATGGGATGGGGAGAGAAGGCCATTGAGATCCGATCTGTGGAGACCGGCCACCTGGACGGGGTGTTCATGCACAAAAGAGCTCAGAGGCTGAAGTTCCTCTGTGAGAGAAACGACAAGGTACGATCGTGTGGGACAGTGAGGTCACAAAGGGATGGGACAGTAACATGTATTTGCAGAATGCCATTATAATAAACTCTCAAGGAATAAATATAACATGGTGAATTTCCATTATCAGTTTAATCATAAAAGTCCTGACATAAGTGGCTGGAAAAGGTCACACATACATGACTTAAAAATCCCATATCGTCCGAAAGCTAATCACTTGGCGTCTGAGTTTTATAACATGCATGTAACGGTGTCTCTGTTGCGTTCTCCAGGTGTTCTTCGCCTCGGTGCGGTCCGGCGGCAGCAGCCAGGTGTACTTCATGACGTTGAACAGAAACTGCATCATGAACTGGTGAAGGATCAGCTGCTCGGTCAGTGTGTCGACCAGCAGGGGGTCGAGAGGAAGTGATCACAAGCGCATGAATACACACATGCGAGAAAAAAAACTCCCGTTTATCTACAGCTCTCTCATACACTCATGTTTCAAATACACACACACACACACACGCACTCACTCTCTTAGACAAACACACACATACAATATTTCATTCCATTCCCCCCTGATGACACTAGCTTCAAATGTTAATACCACTTATTGTTTTGTACTGTAAATATTCCGGTCTTGATTTACTTTAATTGGTGGTTTTCAGTCGTATCTATTTAGTTCCTCTACTTGTGAAGTGTGTGACATTCCTTAAAGGTTCGACAGTACGTTCTGAAGAAGGCATTATTTATCAAATCCTGTATGTTTAAATGAAGCTGTAAATAGGTAGCACCTTACACTTAGATCTGAATCATTTGCAGGCCTTTTATTTAGCCTCAGTGTGTTGCTACCCAACAAATGGACGTGAAATAATTCAATGCTGGAAATCTGCAGTGGCTTGAGGCAATTTCAGGGTTAGGCTTAATGGAAGGATTTAATACACACACTATTACAAATGTACATTAAAGTCGAGACAAAGTAGCTAGTTGAAGTATTTGTAGTTTCCGTATCATAACCTGAAGTCTGGCTTCCACTAACTTTGCCTGAATGATAATGCAACTCTTAATCACAGCAAGTAAGCCTTGAAAGATTTAAAAAGCAAAATAGATTTCAGTTTAAAAACTAATAAAGGATTAAAAAAAACAATCAGAAGTCTCATAAATGTGCAGTACTCTGACTCCGTAATGTGAAATCTCCTGCTTTGCCTTTTCCTCCCCGAAGGTGAAGCCTTCATTATTTGACTCATCAGACTTTTCTGTCTCCATAGATTTACAAAAAATACAACAAAAAAAACGTTATTTATATGTAGTGATAATGTATTGGTATTAGCCTACTGATCTTCTTAATTTGACTGTAATTATATTGCCATTATATTGCAATATATGCTATTCTGTGGCGTTTCTGTTTGGAGAGGGGTGTTTAAGAGCGGTAGGGAGTGACGGGATATTTGTCAGGAAAGTAGGACATGTAGAAACGTGGTAAGACAGTGATTAATGGAGATCATTTTCCTACCGCAGTGATCTACTCTTCTGTATTATATTTCAGTTCTTAGTGTGGATCTCTTTGTGAAGGGGTTGCAGTAGAAGCGCTCTTCGTGTGGTACAGTTCGTTATTCGTCTTAGGCCAGTGGAAAGATTACATGTAGGGTGACTCTGCAATACCACGGAGGACTGCTGGAACACATGAGACTTAATATATATATATATACACTCTGCCAAAGTTCACAGCATAATCTGCAATGGGGCGATGGATCGAAGCCAAAGGGATTAGAGCTTATATGGGGATTTTAGGAGAAACATCTCGAACCAATGTTCCTTTCTGTACATCCAAAACGAATATTCTGGTGTTCCGAAAGTCTTTACTCAAGTAATCTAGTAGTTTTCCATTTGTTTAACGCTCTGCTCTCATACAGCAGACTTTACGGTAAAGGTGTGAGGCAGCGCTATCGGGAAGTAGCTTGGCTTTTGTTTGTTCTGTCAGCAGAGGGTAGGTCAACACATGAATCAAGATCGTTCTGTAGTGATTCACGGTGTTTCAACACTTCCACAGCACTTTGCTTTCAACAGGTGGACTTTTCTTCAATCCCATCATGTCTCTCGTCAGCATGGAGTTGGAGAAATGTCTACAAATTAGAGTTTATAAATACAAGCTGACAAACGCAACTGTACTTTTCTTCTGGAAGGTTTTGGGTTATATCGAAACGAGTCTTGGCTAGTGATCAGTGGGAAAGAAGATATATTTAATAGTGGCACAAAGAAAGTTTGCAGAGGAAGTTTAAGCAAAGATTATATAAATAGATGTTCAATTTTATGGTGGATAGATTATAAAAACAAACTGTATATGGGCATGGAAAGCACTTTCACTTCTGTAAACATACATTTATAAATATATCTCCAACAGGTTCTTGGTGTGCATGTAAGCCATTGAAATAGAGTATGTAGTACTGTATCAAAGTTGTTTTCCCAAAAGTGTTTTTATTCTTGAATATCTGTTGCGTGCCATGACTTATATTTCAAAATGTCACCACTACAATCCACCGGGAGCTCTGGCACTCGTGCTTTTTATGGTACAAAGACATCATCACTTTTTATCAATCTGCCATGTTTACAGTCAAAGCAGTGCCTTGGAGTTGGGAAGAAGAGATGTTTAAGGATGGGTTATGAGCCCCCGCCCCACTTGTCTCTTACTTGAAATCCCATGAAGAAGAGGCACAGCTATATTTGCTCCTTCAATATGATTTATGTCATGTGCCATTTAAGTGCACTTAGGTCAAATCCAGAATATCCTGCTGATGTTCTTGAGTTGCTTTTTGGCACCTTGTATATTACCTAAAAAAAAAAAACAACAGAAAGTGGCAATAACAAATATTTAACACATGTCAAATTAATCCAGTGTAACGGATATACTCACAGTGGGAGCCCGCCTAGTAAAAAGCCATACGTGTGTTGTGTGAAGTCAACTCAGATCGATTCAGCCCTGTGAGTGACGTCTGCTCAGAAAACGAGTCGAGATGTTGATCGTGTGATCTTGGTAGTGGGGAAAGTATCTTGATTATATTCTGAGAAGCCTATTTTATAAGATATGTAAATTAGTCTATATTGAGAAATCAAAGTGAATGTACATCTATGAGACAGATTTGTATTTATATGAAAATGTGTACCGCTCTATTAATCAAAGCACAATGTATTTTACGGCAGAGAGATCAAAGCTAGAATTAGGTGTTTTCTTTATTCCTAATTCATCTTCTATTAGTAGTTCTAGTGAATCGAGTAGACAGCTGTGTGTGCGTAGGCTGTCAGTAACTGCAGCGTGTCTGTTCACTTATATAGACGTATACAAATACTGTCTGCTGTCTTCTCCCTCCCAGCTGTGATCCAGACACTTGGGGGGACGTACAGATCGGTTCAGGATCTGGCCTCTGGTGTAATTTGCCTTTGTGAGGTTGACAGGATGCTAAAATGCTCAGGCTGTGATGTGAGGGGCGCGACGTCCCTTGGCGGGAGGCGATTGGCTCTTGGTTTTGGTATTGTATAAAAATCGGAAGCAATTGGCACGTGAGGATTGCATCGATCAATTAGTGACAATTACAGACTAAAGACAATTACAGTAGGATTTCTTGACTATGTTAATTGTGTGTGTTTTGTCACCAGGTATGAAAGATCTTAAAGGGTAACTCCAATGATTTTGCACATCAATATGTTAGCGCATCTTGTGGAGTCAAACAGCATATTGAAATTGAAATTGATATTATTGTTATTTTCTGGCTCATCAGAAAAGTCCTACATTTGTCCCAGAGCATGGGGAAGTTTCAGCCAAGATCTTTCCCTCTGTCTCATCTTTTCAACACTTTACCTCTAAAAGGCACTCTGGAACAAAAAATACAAAGTGTTTATTGCACAGAGCAAACAGGAGTGTAATAGTCTCAGTGTAGTGGAGTGGATTGGCAGCCAATAATACCCCAAAAGATAAATGAAACATTATGAAGTATATTTACAACAATACAACACATGTGAAGTCTGATAAATCACCTCAACTGATCAGTCAGTTGTTTAGGGCTGAAGTGTTATGCTTGAAAATGTGAAAACTGTCGGGGGGGTTGAGTGGGAAAGACTTGATCTGCCCAGACCAGGATATCCCATCAAAATAATGGCAGTGGTGTTGCATTGTGGGGAATGTAGTCACCATATTTTCACCAACATTTATGTGTAAAATCAGTGCAGTTATCCGTAAAAAAAATTCTCATGTTGCATTATGTCATATGTACTTAACTGCACAAGCTTTGCGAAATCATAATTTGACTTGATGAAAACAGAAATGATCTCAATACAAGCACTTGCTCAAACTACAGTGGTTAAATCATCTAGTCAAATGTAAATGAATATACGTTTAGTTATTGGTTGAGATAATTGAGTCTGAATTTAATTGCAAATATAACACTTGCTGTCTTATTGTGCTGCACATTGGTTGCAGTTTGAAAGACAGAAGAGTAGTTTGTGGTTGTGGATTCCCCTAAAAGCACCTTAAGGTGTAAAAGTGCTATTTCATTTTGTGCCAAGAGCCATTAAAAGACCCTCACAAGTCTTTAGTTTGAGTGTCATTGAAGCACGACCTGATGTAACGTGGCTTCACTGTAGGTGTACAACATCCTCTTTAGGGGGCAGATAATGACATTTCTTTTAAATAAGCAATACAAGCATTTGAACAAATCAAACAAAATGGCTGTCCATCTCAGTGTGGCCTACAGGAAGTGGTTCTTCAGTGGCCTTTGGCGGACTGAATGTAGGCTGGTTTGTGTGTTGCTCGTTATCTGTACTTTACTTTTCTCAAACAATTGCTTATCTCTGCTGGGATGCTTTTTCTTCTCATGCTATAATGAAATCCAAGAAACTGCCTTTACAAACTACAGATAGATGATGGCTAATATTCTGATGAGGCACTCTTCCCTATATTTCTAATCAATCAGGTGTGAATGGATTAGGAGGCGGATCAAACTTTGGGAGCTCTCAAACGATCTTTAGACAGAACTACAATACTTATCATTCTTTTCAAAATCCTTTCTCTTTTTTTTTTAAGACGATAAACATCTTAGCAATGTTTTAGTGTGTGTGCGCGCGTCTGTGTTACTTGTGAGAGGTTAACTCCAGATTGTATTTCATAGACTGATAAACTTTAAAACTTTCAAAAGATTGTGTTGAATGAATTCATGTCTTAATACAGAACTGTTTGAAAAATAAAATACCTTAATCTCATCAGTCTTGGTTTCCTTTCTTTGCACTATGACAAATGTTCATTACATGTCTGACTTTAACTACATTTCTTTGAATAATTATTGATATTGTGGAGGCTCATATTGACTCTCCAAAATAAAAGGCCCTGCACAAGAGATTTCCTGTATTGATAACAGTTTGTTTTTTTAAAGGTAATTGTTCTTTGACCTTTAGATAAAATGAGAGAAAAGGAAATGTCAATAAAGCAGAATAATTAAATGACTGTTCCGAGTTTACCATTGGTGTTCAGCAGAGGTGGGAGAAGTCACTCTAACAAGTGACATGTAATGAAATGTAATCTTGTACTTGAATAAAAGTAGAAGTACCAGAGTGTACAGTAGGAATACTCTGTTACAGTAAAAGTCCTGCATTCAAAATGTTACTCAAGTAAAAAAAGTATTGGCATCAAAATATAATTAGAGTACCAAAAGTAAAAGTAGTCATTGTGCAGATTGGTCCATTTCAGAATAATATATATGATATGTTTTATAATGATTGATCATTAAAGTGTTATCAAAGCTGGTAAAGGTGCAGCTAGTTTGAATGTAAAACTGTAAAGCATTAACCCATCACTGTACCCTGTATGCAAGGGCTGGTCTGCCTTCACTAACTGCACGGAGGCTCAGTCACTGGTACATTTTTATATATAAAGCCATGTTAGGGAAACTTCCATCCTACATCTGCTCCCTGATCTCACGGCGAATTGTAAGTGGCTACTGCCTGAGATCGCATGCTGTGGTTTTATTAAATGTGCCAACTGCTAGGACTGTCTTAGGGAAGATAGCATTTAGATGCGCAGCTCCACTGTCCTGGAATAGTCTGCAATTAAAATGGAAACTGAGCAATCTGGTGCCACTCAATGTTTTTAAAGCTCGGTTGGATGCTACTCAATCGGAAGCTGTTGGTACCTGTGCATGTGGATAGTTATGTAAATTGTAATCCCTGTAATGCTAATGTATGATGTCCTTTTGTTGTTCTGTTTATGTTTTTAATGTTTCATGTGGAACCTACTTGAGCAGGTCTCCCTTGAAAAAGAGGTCAATGATCTCAATGGGATACAACCTGGATAAATAAAGGTTTGAAATGAAATGAAATGAATTACTTTGTATACTGCAGGGTAGCTTGTGAATTTACTCGTGGAACTAAAGTCTGATTTAACACTTTATTCATCCAGATCTGTAAAGTAGGTATTAAATACATGTAGTGGAGTAAAAGTTCAAAGTAGCATAACATGGATATACTCAAGTAAAGTACAAATACCTCAAAATTGTACTTAAGTACAGTACTACAGTAAATGTACTTGGTCATACCTCCACTGTATGATTCTATCCCACATTAGTCCCCCTACTTGAACCTATGACTGTTACATTTTAATATTAAAATGTATTCAACTATCATGAAATTGATCGGGAAAGGCTCATCAGAAAGCTCTAAGGGACTTCACTAAAACACAAATATAGTCAAATATATAGATTTTTAATTAGCAGAAGGGGTATTTGTAAGTAAGTTGAATCTCTGTCCTGATTATTGCAGCCCTGTATAACTTAAGCACTGAAATGCTTTGCAACCAAAATGCCACAGCTATATGTGTCTTTGTGGAAAAGGTTAAATGTATGTAGGACACAAGCCCATATGTAGGTGCTGTCTTCCTTGATCTCTGGAAGGCTTTTGACACTGTTGACCACCAAGTGCTCCTTACAAAGCTAACGTATTTCAATTTTTCGGCAGTTTCGTTACATTGGTTTAAGTCTTACTTATCGAACAGAAAACAGTGTGTTTCGGTCAACGGTGCCAAATCCCCCTACCTTGTCAACCCTGTTGGGGTTCCACAAGGTTCCATTCTTGGACCGTTACTTTTTCACTGTACATTAATGACTTGCCGAATGTATGTCCTGAGTTGAATGTGCAAATGTATGCCGATGATGCGGTCATCTTTGTACATGGGAAAAACACTGAAATGATCTCATCTTGTCTCTCTAATGCTTTGGACAAGGTTCAACACTGGCTGAACAACATTTGCTTACAGTTAAATGTAAAAAAAACAGTATGCATGATGTTCAGTAAACGTCAACGACCAGTCAAAATCGAAGGATCCAACGTGTTTTTAAACGGAGCAGAATTAGAACTAGTCTCCCACTTCAAGTATCTTGGAGTCATACTGGACTCGAACTTGACTTTTAAGAAACATATTAAGAAAGTATCCAATACTATTGGATATATGCAAAATGTTAAACAAATTAGACCTTTCTTAACTGTCAATGCTGCAAAGTCATACCTCCACTGTATGATTATATCCCACATTGAATACTGTTTTACAAACTGGTCGTTTGCTTGTGCCACAAACCTGAAACCAATAGAACAGCTGTACAAGAGAGCTATCAAGGTGTTTGACAGAAAGCCAAATTCATACCACCACTGTACCATCCTTGATAAACACAATTTTAAGTCTTTTAAAAGTATGTGTTTTATTTATAAATGTTTACATGGACTGCCCCCCCTCCCTCCCTTAGGGGAATTCATCCACAAAAAACACACTGGACGCTGCACTAGGTCAGAAACCAGAGGAGACTGAAGTCCACCGTAGACGGACCACTTTTGGACAAAATGTTCTTTCCATTAAAGGCAGCTCATTGTGGAATAGCCTCCCAACTGAGACACGGGATTGTTTCACTCTCAATAGCTTTAAAGGTCAACTCAAAGAATGGTTGAGAAACAAACAGACGTGCAATCACCGCTAAATGCACTTCAACACAGGGGTAACTCCTCTTGCACTTTAGGTAGCTCTTTTATCTCCTCTTTATATGTGGTAGCTGCTACATTGCACTGCCTTGTGGTAAATGCTTGTATGCTGCTCATGGTCTTTCTGCATATCATGTATTTCTGTTTGCCATATCAATATTATGTTCATAAATGTTGTATGTGACGGGACTACGGATGGAAACTAGCTCAAAGCTCAAATCCGGCTCATTTACATTTAAAAGCATTATTTTGTTTAAAATGTTCATTAATGTGCACTGTCCCGGTTCAAATAAACGATTAAATTAAAAAAATAGTTACTTCCCAACTCTGGTGTTTAGTGCCTTTAATACAATAGTAATGAAATGAGAAATGTCCGCTAGTGTTGAACCACATGATGGTGCTAAAATCACTGGATGTGTATCATTTACTTTATGTGCACTTTGCTTTGAAGACAGTGAATATGTCCACTTACTTTTACATAAATGAATAGCCTCAAAGTTAAGGTACATGTTATTGTTTTCTTTTTCGATGTAAAACAGTCTATGGTTTTATCCTGTTTGTGAAGCTGAGGAGACGAGGCAGCTGCTGCGCCCCCTGGCGGCTGGAGGTACAAACACTTGAATCTGCACATCGTGTATGAGACACTTCAATCAGAAGGTAAGAAAAACACAAAGTGAATTATGAATTGTATTATTATCAATACACAAAACTGCAGCCAGTCCGGACTAAATATGTCCCCTAATCTAAACATCCTGAATCTGACCACATGACAGACGTCTAAAAATGCCAATCCTGTTTTTACCTGTCACAATCTGAGCAGTGGAGACCACACACACACACACACACATCATTTACACACACTTTTATGTACATTACATTGATATTATTTTTATTACAATAATTTTGATTTGTTTAATGATATCCATCAGTTATGTTCAGCTTCCTTCCTTGTTTTTAATTACATAATATTGTGATTATTGTTGTACCACCTTGTATGTGCTTTGGCAACACTGGGTTTTTGATATGGTCATGCCAATAAAGCTTCATTGGATTTGAATGATCCTTACCCAAACTATTAGTCTGATAAACAGTGATTAATGATTTGGCAAAAACCATCAGTGTGACCTTACCATGTTGTCTTTCTGCAATAGAAACCGAAATATGTGTTTGTGTTTTCTTGCCTTTTTTACTTGCATTATAAACCAAGTAGTATACATCAACACCCAAATCTTATTACCTAAAGCTTTTTTTTTTTAAATGTAGGAATTGATGGTCAATAGAATTAATTTAAATCAAATTAAACCTAATAATATAATTTATAAAAGGCAAAACTTTCATCATTTTTCAAAATGTACCACAGATGACCACAGATCTTTTGAATTTGAATTAAACATTAAACAACCCGTGACCAGTATTTCAAATAACATAATATGGAACCATCCATGTTTTGTTTTTTGCGGCAATTGGATGAAATAACACCTTAAAAACATGAAGAAACTGGTCACATTTGAGTAAAACAGGAAGGTTAATAGGATATTTTTTAATTAATTTAACGACAACATTTCAAATGATCCCTCTTTTCCATAATATCAAAAGAAATGGTGTTATTGTAAAATAAGAATAACTAACTACAATTGACAAAATTGACCTATGCTGTAAAATTACCAATTGTATAGTTTCTAAAAAGCGTGGGAACCTTTCAGGTCAATGTGTGCGTTGCAAATCCAGTACCAGTCATGTGTAGTCATATCAAATGGCCAAACTGTACCTCTTTACATCGAGTTCATCACTTCCACAGTGTGTGAATAAAGAAAACCACGATAACTGGCAGGAGAGGCTATTTATTTATTAATATTATGTACAATTATACCATCGTAAAGTCCAGATAATACATTGACAAAGTCAAAGTATGAATACTGGCTCCTGCTTTATTAAGATGTGTCTTATAATGCTTTTATTTTTTCACCCACCTTTTTTGAATCTCAGATCTTTTTTTTTATGTTAATTTAACTGTATCAATATTCTCTATTAATAATCCTTAAAGTGTATCTGAGGCACACAGGGAGAACATGAATAAATAAGTGTAAAAAATAAAACAAGAAGAGCAGATGTACTGTGTGTGGGGGGTACGTATCTATAAAAACAGTGACTACATAATGTCTCGAGCCAGATGAAAATAAGAGTTGATATTCTCCTCTTTTTTCAGTGTTAATGGACTCACATGACTCTCTCCTCACTTCCTTCACATTAGTGTCGCAGAGATACATGTGCTACCGAGACAAAAATAGTACAGAAATGTTTTGTCTGAAGTGCATTTTGGACTTCATTGTAAACAAAGACAGAATTGTCCAATAACGTCTTCTCCCCTGTTTAACTGGAGGAGCAGTGTCTCGCAGGAAAAACTATGTGTGTGTGTGTGTGTGTGTGTGTGTGTGTGTGTGTGTGTGTGTGTGTGTGTGTGTGTGTGTGTGTGTGTGTGTGTGTGTGTGTGTGTGTGTGTGTGTGTGTGTGTGTGTGTGTGTGTGTGAATGAGCATGTTAGACGTGTTAAAAGGCTTCAGGTCATAGTGGCATTTGTGTTTATTTTTTATTTAAGCAACTGAAGATTCAACTGTTTTTGTCACATTTTTACATTTTACAGAATACGTGTGTGTGTGTGTGTGTGTGTGTGTGTGTGTGTGTGTGTGTGTGTGTGTGTGTGTGTGTGTGTGTGTGTGTGTGTGTGTGTGTGTGTGTGTGTGTGTGTGTGTGTGTGTGTGTGGGTCTTTACTTAAATCAGCTGTAGGTAGTGTGCATGTGTGTGTGTGTGTGTGTGCGCGTGTGTGTATAAAGTCATACCTAAGTCATATATATTATGTACAGTACAATGTTGCAGTTTGTCTGTTGAATCTTACATACAGTGAATACAGGGTGCAAACTGTGTCCAAAGAAGGGAGCTGTGTGTGCGTGTGTGTGTGTCTGTGTGTGTGCGTGTGTCTGTGTGTGTGTGTGTGTGTGTGTGTGTCTGTGTGTGTGTGTGTGTGTGTGTGTATGTGTGTTGCTGTCGGTGTGCACAGCTCAGTTCCAGATCTTGAGGAAGCTGTCCCAGGACCCGGTGCTCACCGCCATACCGTCATCCGTCACACCCAGACAGCTCACACGATTGTCATGGCCGGCCAGGACCCCTGCAGGGGGGACGGGGACAGACAAAAGAACACTTGTTACTCTAAAATGTTTTGCTCTCAAGACTGCGGTGAAACTTTTTTGAACACATAGCGACCTTGTGTTTAGAACTGCGTTAACTTGCAACACATTTTTGTTACAAAACAAGGCTCGAGACGTGTGAATCAACTAGTAGAAAACATTACTGTCACAGCTCCCTTCCTTTGTTTCCTTATAGAGGACATATAACGCTCATTTACGGGTTCATATTAGTAGCCGGAGGGAGCTTTGGGACCATGCACTAAAACCTATTCCACACTACAGGAAAGGGAAAACCCCAAAAGCATAACAGGGCCTCTTTAATTCTCTTAGACGCCTTTTAAACAGACATTAGTTACGCATTATCGTTCAATTTGATTTGTTTCTCTTACAGTCGTGATAACTTTGTTTGCCTTCGAATGATGATGATATGCCACTCGTGGTTAATTGAAAAAAAACGAATCAAATCAAAAGAGGGCACCAGGTTTACTCTTACTTGGTATTTGAGTAAATAATTGCAGGTGAAGGTCAGAAACAGAGTTAGTGTACAATGTGTTACATGTCCCCGTTAAGAGATCTTATAACCCTAGTTTAGACGATTTTAAGATGCAAGTTGCAAAAAGAAACACAGTATACTAACTTTTGTAAAACTACTAATATTGTTGACGTCTAAACGGAGTGCCTCTACATTTAAAGTATTACTTTAGAGCAGGGGTGTCCAAACTACGGCTCGGGGGCCAAACGCGGCCCACGGACCATTTTGAATCGGCCCTCAGCAAGTTCAAAAGCTATAATGGAATACGGCCCACAAATGAAACTTGTGCTTGTCTTATATATATTGTACTTAAATATAAATGTAAAAATAAATTACACAGTAGTTAATTAAAGTTGGAAATTTGTTTTTGAACATCTCCTTATTATAATCAATCTGAGGCTTCTGTTTTAAGGGATGAGCTGCTAACACTCACAAGCATCATTTACCTACATTTGATTGATTTTGCTAACTTATACCTGAACCTATGAGGCGATATACCTCTAGTGAGCGGTCCAGCGCTTCGTATATTTTTCTGTATGTGGCCCTCGGTGAAAAAACACCCGTATTTAGAGCTACTCTTTGTCACCCACCTGCTCTGTCTCCCTTCATGGCGTCCCAGATGTTGCAGTTAAAGTCGTCGTAACCGGCCAGCAGCAGGCGGCCGGAGCGGGAGAAAGCCACGGAGGTGATGCCGCAGATGATGTTGTCATGGCAATAGAGGCTGAGCTCCTGGTCGGCACGGAGATCGAACAGCCTGCAGGTGGCGTCGTCCGAGCCGGTGGCGAAGGCGCTGCCGTTGGGAAAGAACTGAGGAAGAGGAGGAGGAGAAGAAGAAGAAGCATAAGAAGCAGGAAGAGAGGAAAAGGCCCAATTCCAAATGGACGCGCCAAGCCCTTTAGCTAGTGCACAGATTAAAATCTTTATAGTGGTCAAACGGTGGAACTACAACCTCCGTGTCTGCCCGTTACGTCATTGGACCAAATACTTTATCCCATTGACTTACATTGAGAAAGAGACGTCTGTAGTGCGTACTCAACTACAGAGTCGGAACACTTTTATACAGTCCTTTAAATAATTAGGGCCTTGAAGTTGTAAAATGTGCTAAAATCTGTATCCGGAGTTATTTTACCTCTGCTTACATTTGACTGAGCCCGAGAGCAGGAGTTCGAAGGCGGAGCTTGAGGAAAACTCAAGTGCTCTATTGGCCCAGATATGGTACTTTAATGAACAAGGTCCCGCCTCCAACTGTATATCCAGCTCTCTTTATACCTCCAAGTGCTGTTAGAAACCCACTACTGTGGAGAGGGAGTGGGTTATCAAGCCTTTAACAGGAAGTCTGCATCGGTCCTGACTTAACCACCTGACCATTAGTTCCATGCAAAAATTCATAGTAAACTGAAAATAAGATAAGATATTGAAACTTAAAGGTGGGGTATGTAATTTTGGAGAAACCAGCTCGAGTGCGCTAGAATTTGAAAGTACGCAGCCGGAAAAAATCTGCCCCTTCCTTCAGACTTCCTTACAGAGCCCCTCCTCCAACACACACAAACGCGCACATGACCAATGAGGGCACGAGATAAGTTTGTGCACAGATGGAAGGCTGACAGGCAGGTAGGCCATCCAGTTATTTTCGCTGGGCCGGCTCAAATGATTGGTCGTGCTTTTTACAGTACCACGGCTTCCACAGATGAAATATTTGTATGTATTTATTGTCAAAGCATTTAATATATTCATTGCTATCGGGATGTTAAGAGCATTCCATGGAATATAACAAAAAATGTTTCTGAAATAAATACATTTAAATAAATTAAATTAAATTAATTACCTTTAAAGATGAAATAGTATTTTCATTTTTTTTTTACTTACGATCATTTATTTGTGTCTAATCTAGAAAAGTTTGCATTGATTGCAGGGACCGTCGCAAAAACCAATCAGCTCGTAAACATCAGATAAAAAATGAAAATAAGTTTACAAAAAATGAAAATACCACTATCGATTTAGAGTTTTATTACAAATAATATATTAAATAAATAATTGTTTTTGTCCAGGTGATGCTGATTATTAACCGTTGTTGTGAAAAGTTACAACATTTCCTGTTTCTGCCGGAGAGAGGGGAGTTCTTCCCAACGCCTCGCCTCAAAGAAGGAGCCTCATCAGCTGTGAGTGTGAGTACAGACAGAGTTTGGGGGAGTGTGTAGGGGGTCCGTTTGGAATTGGGCCTGCGGAAATATCAAAATACTCTTAACAAGAGATGACAAGTAGGTAAGTCCTTGTTCTACGATTCTCCTTAGCTACTCGCGTCTCTGCTCTCAGACTGAATCTGATCAAATAGAGAGATTTAAAACCAGCAATATGTTTTATTGTGGATCCTTCCACCTGTCATGTATGGGCTGTAACCTTTGTGGTGCATCCGTCCAGAATCAGATGGAGTCAGGATGTTCAGATATGGTGTTAATTGATAATCTCGTTAATCCTCTGGCGGGCTCCTAATTTAAATCCCCCCCAAAGCTGGAGACAAGACAGCGTGTGACGTCACTGCGAGACAAATCCTGGAGCTGCTCTGTTGCTATGAGAGTCAGACGGAGGACAGGAGGGACACTTTAGACCACTAAGGATACCAGGCTTCTAATTTTAGTTAATTGACAGCACAAGGCAGCTTATTTTCTTTTTTTATCTCGTATATATTTAGATATTTAATTGGCTGGATGAAACTATATGTCTTAATATTGTTTTAATTTATTTTCTGTCAATATGGGTTGACCCTTAGTTCGTTTTGCAATCAACTTTGTGGCTTAATTGTTTTTTTAAATGGCAAATTAAAGACCATTAATAAGTACAAGGTGATGTTTTTAAATGTGTTGTCAGTCCAAAACTAAAATATATTGTGTTTTAAATTAAATAAAACAGAGAAAAGCAGGAAATCTGAATTGCTGAAAAAAGCCATTTCTACCATTTGGACATTAAAGAAAATATTTTAATGACCAATGTGTTATCAAATAAATTGTTCTATCTACCAATTGACTAATTAACGGGTCAACTATTCATGGTGATTTTTAAGACCCCAATTGTTTGATTAAATACTACTTCCCATGATAAGTGAGCTTAACTTATATAAGATAAGGATAAATACAAATAGTACGTATTTAGACAGTTTGTCCACAGAGCCCCAGACCCGCGTAAAAGAAAATTGAGAAAAGCAGGAAATCCTAATATTTCAGAAGCTGAAAACAGCTATTTCTACCATTTGTACATTTAACAAATATATATTAACGACCAATGTGTTATCAAATAAATGGTTTTATTTGCCAATTGACTTACCTTTGCAGCTCTAGTAAATCTTTCATATTTTGTATTAAAGGTGGGGTAGGTAATTCACTTCAGAAACACTTTTTGTTATATTCCATGGAATGCTCTTAACATCCCGATAGGAATGAATATATTAAATGCTTTGACAATAAATATATACAAATATTTCATCTGTGGAAGCCGTAGTACTGTAAAAAGCACGACCAATCATCTGAGCCGGCCCAGCTAAAATAACTGGATGGCCTACCTGCCTGTCAGCCTTCCATCTGTGCACAAACTTATCTCGTGCCCTCATTGGTCATGTGTGCGTTTGTGTGTGTTGGAGGAGGGGCTCTGTAAGGAAGTCTGAAGGAAGGGGCAGATTTTTTTCGGCTGCGTACTTTCAAATTCTAGCGCACTCAAGCTGGTTTCTCCATTCTTACCTACCCTACCTTTAAATGTAGCATATCTTTTGATTTATGGTGATTTTAAAGACACCAATTGTTTGATTAAATACTACTTTGCATGATAAGTGAACTGAACTTATATAAGATAAGGATAAATAATAAAAGATAGTACGTATTGAGACAGTTTGGCCACAGAGCCACCGTGCCCTTTCACACTCACACAGATGGCGTTGATGTCTGACTCAAAGTGATGTTTTTAAATATGTTGTCAGTCCAAAACCAAAAGATAATGTGTTTAAAATGAAATAAAACAGAGAAAAGCAGGAAATCCTAATATTTCAGAAGCTGAAAACTGCCATTTCTACCATTTCAATAAATAAATAAATACATTTATTTAATTGTGCATTAAATGTAGCATATCTTTTGATTTATGGTGATTTTAAAGACCGCAATTGTTTGATTAAATACTACTTCCCATGATAAGTGAATAGGATAAATAATAAAAATAGTACGTATTTAGACAGTTTACCATTTTTACGGTTAGGTACCGCAGCATCCGGACTAAAACCAGCACACTAAGGGACAGTTTCATCCCACAGTTTCATCCCACAGGCCATAAGACTGATAAACACCTGACATTTTGAAAGAACATCCATAACATTCATCTGTCTGCAACTTATATATATCAATATTCCAATTACTGTATAGACTATTCTGCACTATTTCTATTATATTCTATTTTATTTTATTTACTTGCACTATAATCTATTTTATTGTGTTGCACTGTTGGAGGAGCCTGTGACCTAAGATGTTCATTGTCATAACTACACTGTAGCTATGCACACATGACAATAAAAGCCTTGAATCTTGAAAAAAGTGTGTAGTTTGGCCACTGCCCTTCCACACTCACACAGATGGCGTTGATGTCCGACTCGTGGCCCGTGAAGGTCTGCCGGCACATGCTGTCTCTGATGTCCCACAGTTTGACCGAGGCGTCGCAGGCTCCGGACACGAAGGTGCGCAGGTCGGGCGACAGAGACAGACTCATGACGTCTCCACTGTGGCCCGAGAACACTGTGGTCTGCTGACTCGTCTCGATGTCCCACAGTGCACTGGGGCAGAGAGAGGGCAGAGAGTTAGACACTGAACAGAGGAGAAGAAAATATGTATTTGCGTTTTAAATCTCTGTGGCTCACCAGGTGGTGTCTCCTGAACTCGTGATGATTTGATTGTCATCGATGAAACGGCAACATGACAGGTAACCTGAGAGAACAGAGGACAGACGTCAGGGTGAGTTGTATACATGAATTAAAGGAGCCCTAATGTGCTTTTTGGGGTTTTCCCTTTCCTGTAGTGTGTTATTTAGGTAAATGGTCTGAAACGCCTCCATTGGACTCCTTTGGACTGTTCACTTCTGTTCTATCTAACCCTCGTGCTTCTATTGGCTATCGCTCTCACACATTGTATCTGATAGACTAAGGGGCGGGACATCTCTAAGCAATTGACCAATCACAACAGAGCCGGCTGGCTAACCAATCAGAGCAGACTGGGCTCTGGTTTCAGACAGAGGGTGAAAGGAGGTGCTGCAGCACAGGCAGTATGAGAAAAATAAAGAGCTTTTTGAACATTAAAGCAAGGAGACATGTCCCAGTAGAGACACTACATACACATATGAACCTGAACATTAACATAATGTCCTCTTTAAGGGTAGTTGATAGTTGAGTGGAAGCTACTGTAATACAATAACCATGAAATAGGAATATTATGTAACAGTACACTGATTGTACAAAACATTAGGGGAAAAGTGAATGTCATTTCCTGCATTTATATCAAACCATCAAATTATTTATTTATGATGGAGTAGGTTATTGAGCTTTCTGTTTTGTTGATCTTGACACCCGATACTTCATGACAATAACACAGTCTTTGCATCTTTCCCTCAAAGAGCACGGTCGTTCGAAGACTATGAGCAAGAGAGAATCTATTTCATGAATTGTATTGTTTCATTGGTCTTTATTGTTGCTGGTCGTTTTTTAATAGTATATTATAATTCCCTCTTTTTATGATGCATTAATCACTATTTTAATCAAATATAATGTTAATATAATTGCTCTTAGAAATACATTTTAACACTAAAGCATGCACAAAAAGGCAATGTGTGACCCACAGTTATAACGTATTATACAACTTGAATCTTAAATGCTTTATGGTTATTGTTATAACACAGTAAGAGAACATATGAGTGCTAATTACTATAATTATACAGTGCTATAAGCAGATTACAAGTCATTTTAAGTATGTGCATACTGTATAATGGACTTAGAAAGTGTTACATATTTTTAAAACCTTTCAAATGATGTACCAATAGGTAATTGCAGCGTCATCTTGATATAAAGTCACAACCTATTTTGTGAATGACGTTCAGCAGCTAGTGTCACAGCGGAGTCTCGCAGACGGGAGTTGATGTCTCAGCTCATTAAGATGCCGCTGCCCTGCGATTAATTAACCATGTAAATTAAATCTTCATTGTTTAGGGGTTTTGGGAGCGGAGCTTTCCCACGAGGCCGAGGGACTGCTGTTCGCTCTCCTGAAACATCGCATCAGTTTGACTCACAGGGAGGGTTGAACTCTAGGAGAAGTGGGTTTTAGAGCGCCATGTTTCTCACCTGTGTGGCCAGGTAGCTCCCTGCTGACCCTCACGTTGCCCTCGCGAGTCTTCAGGCAGTAGATGGAGCAGATGTTGTCCAGGCCTCCGCAGGCCACGTAGTTCCCAGAGGGGGCGTACGCACAGGTCATCACCCAGGAGGAGCGCAAAGGGATCGCGTGTATCTAAGGAGGCATTAATACACGTTTAACTTTAAATGTAAAGGTCCCCTATTATACTGTTTTTCATCAAAATATAATAGGTCTCAGATATATACAAAACATGTCTCTGAAGTGTTTGGCTGAAATACCAAACAGATCATTGTAGCATCCCATAATCCTCTCTGTTTCAGCCCTGTTTCAAAAGTGCTGATTCTCTGTCTGTTACTTTAGATGAAAATGAGGAGATGCCTCCCCACGCCCCTGTGAGAGATATTTGGTTACAAAGAACACAAAAGGCGCTTTCACACCAAGTACTTTTCCCAGGAATAGTCCCCGGAACTTTTATTTCCTGGAACTATCTAGTAAATCGAGTTCACAACGGAATAAGTCCCTGAGGGAGGATTAGGCAAATGAAGCCGCTGACGTCACTTCTTCTTCTTCTGCTTTGGGTTTACTGGCAGGCCGCAAACAACTTCACGGCGTATACTGCCACCCGAAGTCCCCGGCCGGAAGTCCCCGGAGTTGGGGACTGACTTCAGTAGAAGCTGCTGGGACTCCCAGCAGCTTCTACTGAAGCCTTCCAAGTAAATCGCCAGAACGCCGACACCTCCTCATCACTCCGCCGCTCCCATGTTTTCTTTTGTGTTGCCATAAGTTAGTCTCTCTCCGTTGGTGCGCAGGGCTAATGCTAATGCTAGTAATGCTAATGCGAGCAAATAAAATGGCGGCTTCACAAAACTTTTCTGAGTTTTACGGGACGTGGTTTGCAATTCGCCCAGCCAATCAGAAATTGGAACCTTTTTCTCCCCAGGAAAGTCACTGCTCTCTAGCAGGGACTAAAAAGGGGTGAAAAGGTCCGCAAAAAAAAGTTCTAGTTCCAGATTTTTTTGGTTTGAACGGGGGGGGTTACCTTGGTTGGTGATTGGCTAATGGTTACACACGCCAAAAAATCGTGATGACATCATAAAGTGGCCAAAATCTGATCAGCTCATTTTCAGACAGGTTTTTATATAAATGGATCAGGACAAAAAGTGAGAGAATCTTTGTTCCTGAAACTTTCAGAATCTCTTCACGCAGAGGGGACACATGGTGATGTACTGTAGAAGAGACATGAACAAGTGGATTCTGCATAATAGGTGACCTTTAATAAGAGCATAGGTTTTGTTAACATTGAAAACATAATATCCCTTATAATGCAAGAATATGTCAGCATCGGTTACAATATGAGTAAACCGCACTCCTAAGAGAGAAGGACTTTACTCCACTTTGATTTCGGAGGCCGAGTGTAATTTATCCAGCCGATAAGCAGAATAATTCAGCTGACTTTACCTTGTTAGTGGTGTAGCTGTCCCAGACGATCAGTTTTCCATCTTGAGAGGCACTAACCAGAAGCCTGTGGAGAGCAAACATACCTTATCTATCAATGGACATATAACACTGTTGACTCTCAGTTAAAACACCTGTGTTCCACATTGACAAGCCCACTAGTACAGCCAAAATGTAGAAAGACGGAAAGGTTTACCGTATATATTTCAGCACCGATCATGGGCAGATTAGCCTCTTTTTGTGTGTGTTTGTGGTTGTTTCCTTTGGCTGTCTTTGCAGCTGTTCTACATCTCTTTTTATATTTTTTTGTAGTTTCTTTTAGGTCATTTTGAGTCTCTTCCCGATTGGTACATGTCTCTCTCTCAAGACATTGTGTGGGTAAAGGCCACACAATGCCTAACAACAGCTTTTGTGCTATTTAAGTGTAGTGTATAGTACTGAACCTAAAACTGCTACAAACATGTTAAAAAAACATCACTTTGACCTAAATGCTAATATTATCTCTCTAATGATAATTCCAAAATGCTGAATCAGGTGTAATGTTTACCATTTTCACCATTTCAGTGTGTGTTAGCATGCTAACATTAGCTAATTAGCACTTTTAGGCACAGCTAGTTTAGGCTACAATTCAGTAAGGTTATTAAATGAAGTATTGTTTCTCTGTTGTATATTTATTATAAACGTATAGTTGAACATGTTCTGTATAGTATGGACTTACTTTGAGTCAGTGCCCCAGTGCATGGCGTAGATCTTAGCGAGATGGCCTCGGAGGGTGCGCCTCGTCCGCATCTGGATCCGCCCCACAGGATCCAGACCAGCAGTTATCTGGGTTAGAGAGCAGAGGTTAATCAAACAATTACACCTTCACCCTCCATCCTTTTTTAATTGATAATTGAGTTCCAAGGTCCAGAGTGAAACTTGGGATTCTAACAAAATGGTGAAAACCTGAGGACAAAACCCCGCACAGGGACATCTAGAAAGTCATGCCAAGTTAGATGATATGAATTCATAGAGATGTAAAAACTAATGTTATAAATGAATGGTTAAACCTCATGTTACTCTGGTGATAATGTGGGTGGGAGCCGGTATAAATAACAATAACTCATCATGTATTTTTTACAAATTGTGCATGCCAAATTCAATAGCGTACGATTTTTTTAAACAAACCTTCAAGGTCTTTAAAACCAAATGTAGTTTTACCTTTGGTTTAAAGTATCATGTTTCCATACTAATGGTCACCAAACCAATGGTTATCACTCAAATCAAGCTTCCCTTAAACATGTATTGATATTCATGATAGCTATACTTGGATCATTTGCACTTACCTGTGTCAGGGTTGAGTCTCCACATGCTTTCCTGGCATCCTAATAGACAAGGGATCATAGGATGAAACAAATACATTTCAAACCATGTGAATATATCAGCATTATCTATACTAACATTAAAAACTGTAAAAACATTTGACTTACTCGTATCTGGTTCCTAAGCTGCTCAGCCTCCTGGCGAAGTTGCTCCAACTCACTCATTTTGGATTTTTCAAGCTGTCACCTGTTAGTGGGAAGAGTTCAAATATCAGACTCTGATATACATCGAGCATAATCTCGGAATTAATACAAATAACTGCAGATGTATAAGTGATGCCAATTTGGGATTAGCATAGTTTCATGCTGCCATAATCCCGTAATCCACGAGTCCACTTTCATCAAAAATGAATCAATTAAGTAAAATAAATGACTTAAAATACAGTTTGCCATTGATTTGAGATTAAAAAACAAAACAATTAGATATAAAAATGCAATTTAATCTCTAAGGTTTACTGAACCTACACAGTGAGAAAAAACCTTGTAATCTGTTTACGGCTGTGCAACCATGCCTAGTTAAACTGGGGAGAATAATCTGTAATGACTAAGCTGCTATCGAGCAGCCAGCATCGCTACCAGGCAGCAGAAACTGAGCGAACACTCCCTTTGAGGCTGAGGGAGAGCGTAACACTATACAGGTCGTGTGTCAAGTCAGAACTTGTGCTAATGCTGGACACACTCATCTTTATCTCATCTGAACGCTGTGGTTTCTTAAAAATTAACAAGGCAGGAGATGTTTCATTTAGCTACGGGCCAACTGAGGTCATGCAAATACTGTACATCACATCCAATATGAAGGCAGCATATCCTGTTCCTGATATGAGCACAGTTACTCATTCAAAGAGGGAGCCTCTATTTGCATTTGTGCAGCAATTCAAATCCTCAGCAAACATGCATACAGTGCACAGCGAAAAGGAAGAGCAATTAGCTACAGTAGGTCACTGTTCCCTGGAGGGACCTGCGACCAGATGGATCACACGGCACTAATGGACGCCAAAAGGGGTGCATCATGGGTCTCAGTCTCCTGGCACAGCTGCTCATTTAGCCAATGAGGAGGAGAAAGGCTGAGGGGGGGTGATGATGCATCAGAGGATCAGGCCTGGATGGGTCCAGCCAGATGCTCGATGGCATGTTTTTGTCGCCTGCGAGCATCGACTGGAGGGCGAGCAGATTTGTGCTGAAGTCATGCCAATGGTAGAAAAAGACACACATAATATAGACTCCACCTGCACTGATGCATGGCCGAGTAGCTGAGCATACATGATGATGCTGATGAGGGGGGGTTAGAATAAAGCTGTGATTACAGAGTCCTGGCCTTTAAAGAGCATATTTTATAACACAAGGAGAGAAAGAACATGATGCCATAGTGTGACTGGCCCCACCCCTTCAAGATGCACATCTGATGTGGAGCTACACCACCATGGCATTGCCTCCATCTGCAGCTGGAGGAGATGCAGAGCCCACACATCACTGTATGTTAGAGTAAATGTTAATGTCAAGAGAAACGGTGCAGATCCCAGGTTAACACATGCAGGCCTGGGAGCTCCGCACGGAAATAAAACCGCAGTAAAAGAAAGAAGCCTCGATCCAAATATATATCAATAAATATATATAGGATGTGCTCCATAACGATGTTCATTTCACGGTCTGCAGCATTAACACTCGTCCTAGTGTATTTAAATAGGAGGACAGGCCCCGTGAATGCATGCTACATCACATATTGATCAGGGAAGGCCTTGGCCACATCTTGTTTCAGATGCTCAGCTCCTAAAATGCGGATGTAGCTAAATTAATTTAGTCGAAATGATGCCACGAATAGGCACATCATCACCCAGCCATCTTACCCTCAATAGGCCGGCCTACATCAGCCTGTCACAGCGTTTCATAATGGGTGGCTACCTGTTAATTCTCCCGATGATTTGCTGCTTTTTCCCCCTCTGCCGTTACAAAAAAAACCGAAGGCAGCGTCCCCACAAAAAAAAAATCCGCTGGAGGATTTAGTCTTTTCTGCTCATTAAAAAAAATGAGATCCACTTAAAGCTCCGTGTGTCACGATTAGGCTATTTCCAAATCCTTCAGCGAACAGGCAAACGGAGGAGGGCTACACACATTTCCATTTCTCTGCTGTGGTGGAGCCTGCTGAAAAAAGATGAAATCTGCTGCTGTGTTGCCGTTTCCTCCTCGAAAAGGTTTTTTTTTTTTCACGCCCGATCAGTTAACAAACACATCTTTGTCCAAATGCGACGTAAACAAACACAATTGAGCAGCTCGGTCCCCTGGCCCGCATCAAGCACTGTCCATTAAATACTATTCAGTCCGTTTTACTCCGATTCTGCTTCTTGTGACGTTATCCTCGTTTCCTTCCTCTCTTTGGTTTCCTCCTCCCTCTGCCGACACTTCATCAGGACAACCGCCTCCGAGCCTACAATGAATTACTGAGGGAAGATCTGCCTCACATAGGAGAATAACAGCATTAGAAAAGGATAATGGCTGCAAGAAACCATCCCATCAGAAGATCTACTGCATGTATTTTCTGTCAGTAATGAGAGGCATGTCGGTCAGAGATCCACACGGTTCCTGTTTTCTCTCCTCTGAATATCATCATTCAGAAACAGGCAGATCACGCGGTGGGCGATTGCAAAAAAAGGGTTCTCAAATCAGGGCATGAAGCATGTTTCAACCACACCCATCTATTAACAGTGGTGTAGAGTAACTAAGTAGATGTACTCAAGTACTGTACTTAGGTACAATTTTTAGATACTCGTACTTTCCATTTTATGCTACTTCTACTACACTACAATTCAGAGGTAAATGGTGTACTTTTACTCCACTACATTTATTTAATACCTTTAGTTGCTTTACAGATTAGGATGATAATGGTGTGAAATATAATCAAGTGTTAAATCAGACTTTAGTTCCACCTGGAGTAAATTCACAAGCTACCCTGCAGTATACAAAGTCATTCAAACTAGCTGCACCTTTACCAGCTTTGATAACACTTTAATGATCAATCATTATAAAACATATCATATATATTATTCTGAAATGGACCAATCTGCATAATGACTACTTTTACTTTTGGTACTCTAAGTATATTTTGATGCTAATACTGTAGCTTTGTACTTTAACATTTTGAATGCAGGTATTTTACTTGTAACAGAGTATTCCTACACCCTGGTACTTCTACTATTACTCAAGTACAAGATCTGAGTACTTCTCCCATCTCTGGTATCCTCTTCACTTTACAGAATAGAATATATTCAACACTATGGTTACTGCACAGATTTACAAGTACTAAGACAACGACATGCAGTAAGCATCTAAACAGAAGTGCGAAAGAAGCAGTAAAGTGCAGTGTTATTCATAGTATAATATAGTACATACGACAGATATAAAGAGTAGTATTTACAGAATGAACAGTACGTATAAAACAAAGTATAGAAATTGAATACACTATAGAGCAGGTATAAATATTTAAACAATTATTGACGCGTTTAAATACTATGAATAAATATGAGTAAGCTTAAAGTTTAGAAGATATAGTTCAATGGGCCTACATCTGGCTTTTCCAGTGATTTTGGAGGTCAAATGAACAAGAGAGCAGAGCATGAACAGATGACCTGATGTTTGGATCAGGTGACATCTTGCACTTTCTCTACTGTATACTGAAACTGATTCCCTCAGTGAGTCTGGAGCCTTGGGGAGATTTTTAGATGGGAAGTAATGCATATTAAATGAATTGGATTGGATGTAATTCAGAAATTCAGAAACTCCTCACTGCACAAGAGTGGGTTATCCTGTTGACCTCTATCTATCTATCTATCTATCTATCTATCTATCTATCTATCTATCTATCTATCTATCTATCTATCTATCTATCTATCTATCTATCTATCTATCTATCTATCTATCTATCTATCTATCTATCTATCTATCTATCTATCTATCTATCTATCTCTCTCTCTCTCTCTCTCTCTCTCTCTCCATCTATCTATCTATCTGTGAATCTCACTTTGTAATTGTAACATTTTCTAAACAAAAAATTAAAATCTAATATTTATTTCATTATTCCAGTCTGTGATGGGTGTTACGTTTCAACAGTCAAGATAATAGAGAGGCACATTATTAACCTGAGACTGTATTTCTCTATGCAAATGTTTGGGCCCAGAGTATATTACACTTTTGCATGTGTAGCATTGGCATTATAGCGTTACATCTTAAAGGTGGGGTATGTAATTTTGGAGAAACCAGCTTGAGTGCGCTAGAATTTGAAAGTACACAACCGGAAAAAATCTGCCTCTTCCTTCAGACTTCCTTACAGAGCCCCTCCTCCAACACACACGAACGCGCACATGACCAATGAGGGCACGAGATAAGTTTGTGCACAGATGGAAGGCTGACAGGCAGGTAGGCCATCCAGTTATTTTAGCCGGGCCGGCTCAGATGATTGGTCGTGCTTTTTACAGCGCTACGGCTTCCACAGATGAAATGTTGTTATGTATTTATTGTCAAAGCATTTAATGTATTCATTGCTATCGGGATGTTAAGAGCATTCCATGGAATATGACAACAAGTGTTTCTGAAATAAATTACATACCCCACCTTTAACATGGGCAGAGTAATGGAAACCATTTGTCGCAGAGCTTGCAAAGTAAAATTGTGGAGATGCTACAAAACCAACAATTGGTAAACTAATAAGTAAATGGACCCTGCCCTCCTTAACCTCACACATTAATATCATACAATCCCTATATCATGCCCTTGTTTATGATTTAGTTCTGGTGTGTTTTCCTGGAGCAGAATGGATGCAGGCTTACACAGACTTCAAATTGTTTGCACATAACACAACATTTCCCACATTTTACCATTGTACACTATCATGCGTACCATTGTATACCATAGTAGTACCATGGTAACTCAGAAATTGGTAAATACTGCAGTACTTCAGATCGTATTACCATTGTATGTTATATTATGTTTCAATTCAACATGTTAAATTATACAAATAAATCAAGTTAGTATTCTTCATTTGCCTCAGTCCAGTATTTTATTTGATGTACCATTGCATTCTACAGTATCTACTGTTACACGTACAAGTACCATGGTATTTTTGACAATGCTATGGTATTTGTAAAACATTTTACTGTATCATGGTGCATATACCATGGCATATTTGATAGGAACACGGTATATTTGACAGTACCATGGTGCATCCACAGTATATTTGATAGGTCCTGTTCCATAGCACATTACATACTGTTTCCTGATGTGGTGGATCATCAATAGATCAATCAAAGTCTATTTATATAGCCCAACATGTCACACCGTACAAGGAAACCCTCCCAAAGAAAGAGCACAGTTAATGGGGGGAAATTGAAGAAACCTTGGAGGGAGCAACAGAGGAGGATCCCTCTCCCAGGACGGACAGACGGGCAATAGATGTTGTGTGTACATTAAAAAGATAACACATTTACAACATAGGTAGTCCAAATGCTTGAAAATGCAAGTGTCTTTAAATAAGAAGAAGATGAATCCAGCTGGATGTCAACAAATAAGTAGTAAGGTGAGCATCAGACAGAACCACAGCAACAGGCAAGTAATTTACCATAGTTCATACCATGATGTGTACCATGGTACTATCAAAACTACAGAGGTACTTGTTCCATGTAACATTCTTTATGGACTTGTCATCTCAGGTCCTGTTATATTGTGATCCTCTTCCTATGGACGTCATCTCTCTGTCAGTAGTGCCCCCTGCTGTGAAGAAGAGCCATTACAGTCAGCCCACAGTATTTCAACGCCTGATGCTCCCATACAGTTTGTGTACATGTTTTTTCTAAGTGCGTACATCAGACTTAACAACTGGTAAAACCACTTCATGAGCACTTATTGGAAGTCATCAATACATTATTTGTGATGTGACGGTTTATTTAAACATAATGGGCGTGGTTATTTCAGACAAGCAGTACCTTTGCTAATTTTTGTGGATGTTTTTGCCCTCCCCTTTTGACAGTCACATGGTTCAGCTTCTGCTCTCCCGTGACACTTTTGAACAAATAATAAGGGGACGAGGCGTGCCATGGCTCCTGTGTTGTTATTGGGCAGCACATCTTTCACAGTATCTAACTCCCGGACAGCTCAGTCCTGTCATGTCCACCGGCCTGCTCTGGTCACATCTGACCGTCCACTGCGCATCTGACCCGGGACAGAGACTACCAGAGACATAGGGAGGAGAACCAGAGGGAGGGAGCCCCAACAAGAAGCAGGAAGTGTGTGAAACTGTGAGGGGAGGTAAGTTTCACTGTCCTCTGTGTTTCAGCGGATACAGGGTGCGTCTGGTGCTAAATGTCCTGGATGTTGCTGTATGAATGACACCCTGCACGAGCACTTCACATCGGGTGTGTAGTTTTATGACTGACCGAGAGCCTAAAAACGTAAACAAACATTTACCCAAGATGCAACCGCGACTGTTGTGGCGTATTATTAATTCACATTTTTACCACTTCTGTCTCGTTTACAGATGTAAAGTTTTAATGCCGCAGTTGCTCCACCCTGATGCTACGTAAAAGTGACGGAATCGGTGATTTATTTTGGTAACTGACTTGCGTGGACCCTGAAAGGGCCTTATTATTTAGATTTAGGACGTCTGAATTAACATAAGAGAAATCAGCTCAGTGCAGCATGAATAGCATGTGCAACTTAAAGCATCACTGTCAATAAAAGGAACTAACAACACTATCGTGGATGTAGATCAATGTATGTACACAATTGTCATTTACTATACAACTTCCCCTTTTAAAACGCTGAAAATGCACTTACCCATAATGGGTAGAGTGTTTGAATTTTACTCCAGACGTGTTAATGTGCAACTAGGGAAAAAATACAAAACAGCCAATCCATTGAAAGATTATAAGTATACTTTTGGTGACCCAGTGGTGGATAGAAATGCATATTTCTACAGTATTTTATGGATATGTTCATACATCTTGAAGATTATTTATTATAGTCAATGAAATGCCTCTCCAATTCCTTATCCAACCAAAAGTCTAGCACAATGTCATTTAAAAGCAAAACATTGACACTTCTGAGCATCTTCAGTTTTTGGCATTTTTGCACTAAAGGACTTATATTTACAGATATTTGCTCCAAATGATGTGAAAATGGTTTCATTACATGAGTGTGTGATCCATTTGATAATTATGATGTTATGCTCCTTCATGACAAATCATGTTTTGTTGTGTAGAACCTTTGTCTGAGTTCAGGTTTCCCCATCATGTGATTCATGCAGCTAATTACACAGTTTGGCAACAGCTTCAGTGATGAAATCTGTCTCGAGAAAAGAATGACAAAGTCACATCTTAAAGAGAAAGAAAACAGCCCAGGTCACCTGGGCACAGCAGGGCATGCTCAGGCTGCTCAGCTGGGATGTGTGCTTGTAAAAACAGACAAGCAGCTGTGAATCAGGTGACTGCAAATACCAGCCTGAGGTGTGAGCTGCAGCTTTCATTAAGAAGAGCGACTCGCAAATATCACTCGCACGCTTTCTCTGGTTTCTTTTTTGTATTTTTCGCAGTAAGGT